AGGAGTGTAAACAAAACTATTCAAAACGTTATAGACATCTTTTTTTTTTAATATGTATGAACAAACAGGTACTTATGAACAATGTCATATATGTTTTGTCTTGTCTTGTAAACAAAATGGAAAACCAAAACGAAAAAAATAAAAATAAAAAAAGTTCCAAACATTCCATGGGTACAGCAAATTCATTTTGGTCGCTTGTGGTAGTTGTTATTCACTGCTTCACATTCATCATTTAAATAATGGCAATAACTGGTTCATCCGTTGTCGGTATTATGTGACTGGGTGGAATGCTTTGCTAGTGGCATTTCAGCATGGTATTTCAGTGAGATAGCACTATAAAGTCGGCAGCAGGTTAACGCTAAAGCAATATTTAGGATTTTTATATCTATCTCTAATTCAATAAATGTTTAATTTCCTAGCGCCTTGCTTGGAAACACCTCACATTTGGCTTCAGGCCAGGGACGTCCCAAAGTCATAAAAAAGCGGTACTGTAGAATCATTCATTTTCGTGGGGTTAAAATTTCGTGGTTTTCATATACTAGCCGGTTTCAAGGACATTATATGTCGCTGATTTTCCTCCATCTATATCATACGATATTTAAGTATTCGGGGGGATTTAATTTCGTGGATTTTTGTTATCCACGAAATAAACGACATTCAATGTGCCACGAAATTTATGATTTTACAGTAGTTATTGTTCAGCATGTAGGAGAATGACAACAAATCGTTCATCCGTTGTCAGTATAATGTGACCAGGCGGAATGGATTATGCTATGCTGGGTCCCTTTGGCATGGTATTTCGGTAAGATAGCACTATAAAACCGGCATCAGATCCGTAATATCACAAGGAGGCAATTACACCGGCATACATGCACGCATGCATGCATTCCCAACACACATGCACGCATTGACCTTAGCTGTTAATCGTTTCACAAAATAAAACCAAACCAAATCTACTGTTGGATGCTGGCTGCCAAATGATGCGTCAATATTCTCCGCAGAAGCCCATGCTATCTATATTGATCTCAGCCTTGAGCACATAAAACCAAATGGGTAGGCCGTGACACAATACAAAAACAAATTATTATACCGGCAAGTCAACAAGTCAACGGACTTTTGCAAAAAGTTGTCACTTGGTAAGCTGTCGTTTCGATTTATGATAACGAATCCCTATCATACACCTAGGGGGGGGGGGGGGGGGGGAAGATAGCCTCGTGCCGATTAGCACGTGTTCAATAGTGACATCATAGAAATGTGTCACCGATAACTGTGAGATTTCTCTGTCACACCCTCAAGTAAGAGGAAGATTATATTAACCTACAGTAAAGATGAGTACACTTGTGTGATATGGCACCACCCAAACAGATGTTTTGTATTATCTGGACTGTCTTATCTGAACCATGTAACAACTATAAGATGATCTAATAATTCTGTTATTTTTACAGTGCATCAATTCTAATTATTTCATTTTATTATTAATTGGGAAGGATGGGTATTTTGAAAGTTATTATAAGGTAAAAATTGACATATTTGCTTGAGAAAATGTAAAAATGTGAAAAATATATACTGAAATATTCTACAAAGGCAACAAATTCTGTCTAAATTCCTTGAAAATATTCTGAGAAGATGACACCAAAGAAAAATGTCCGGGTTCTGCAGAGGACCCGCACTCGTCGTCTTATTTCATGCATCATCCGAACCAAGAGGATGATGCTTTACAATAGTATCACTCGATGAGTGTTGACGTTTGATCGACATAACTGGGGTTATGCGTCATTACGAAGCAGCAAAGTGTATGACTGATAATAATGTAAATATTTACGCCATTGTTCGTGCACTTTAGACCATTAACAGTTGACCGACTTCTTCCGTGGTTTGACCACACAGCTGGGTAAGCAAGTACACGTTGGTCTTGTAATTGCAATAATTTGTATGGAAACGAAACTGAACGGAGTCGATTTCAGGAACCACTGGCTGTAAGCTAATGGTAATATTGATAATCGGTGTCACAAAGTCTTAATTATGTAGGGCACTGTGTTACAGTAATGTAAAAAAAAAGATAAGAGCGTTATTATCAAGGACGTTGAAACCTACATAAATGTATCGATAACTAATTCATATATATAGGTAAGTATGTAACCTACATTTGCGAATGAAATGTAAAAAGAAAATATTTCAGGAGATCATCTTTGAATACTAAGATATCCATATCAATTCAATATTTAATCTGCTTAACCCTATAAATACCGAAACCAACATCTGTACACATTTATTTTAGTTTCATGTGTGGTATATAGCCTAATTCATGGTTTCTAACTTCTTTATGAATTGTTTTCATTTCAAAATGTTTTATTAAATCCATCAGATTTAATGGGGAATTGGGCAACACGCAAAGTCTATACAAGCCCTCTCCAATAGCAAATAATGAACTATGAATATTGAATTAAATCAGTATAACAATGAAGATAGGAGACACCATACATACAAACATGCATACACGCATGCATACATACACACGCATGCATACATACATGCACAAAAATACATACATACATACATGCACAAACACGCATGCATGAACACGTACACACATGCATGTTCATGCATGCGTGTTTGTGCATGTATGTATGTACGTACACACATGCATGTCCCTGCAGGTAGGGCGTAAGAATTGTACCTGCTGCCCCCAATTGCATGATCGTAAGAGGCGACTAAATTTGGGACCTTATCTCTTCTCTTCTTTCTAAATAACTTTCTTCTTCCTAATGTCTCCCTTGGCAATGCCTCACTTTTGGCCAGTTGTTGAGCGTTCGCCCCTGTGAGGAAGGCTTTGGGTTCTGTCCCCTGGCCGAGACATACCAAAGTCTTTAACAATGGTAGTTTCTACTACTGCTTAACGCTCAGCAAATTAGGAGTGGGACGACTGGTTCGCCCGTTGTCAGTATAATGTGACCGGGTGAGGCGTCCTGCTGGGTGTCTTCGGCAGTATGTTTCAGTGAGGTAGCACTATAAAGTCGGCATCAGTTCCGCGCTATCACAAGGAGATAAACACGAACATATCGCAGCCTCCCAAAATACACACGCATACACTACACGGATGCATCTTGCACACAGGGGAGGCCGTCCTTAAATGACCTTAGCTGTTGATGGGACGTTAAACAAAATCAAACAAACAAACAAACACACATGCATACATTTATGATTTACGTGAATTTTTAGTGAATATTGCTTAAGGAGTATGCAATATAAGTCATGTTCAGCTGCTAGACAAATAGTCTGTTTTGAAGAAATATTAAATATCATATGTTTAAAAAATGTTTATTTACCTTTTTATGTGTTTTCTACTTGGAGGATAATAAAAGAACCAAAACCCTTTATCTGCTATTCCCATTGATATATACATGTATAAATATCTGGTCGAGTTTAATTTCCCATTCCTTTTTTACGGTGGGGTCTCCCTAGGCATCCGTCCTCATATGATGATAAACCACAAAAGCCGTTACTTTCCATACAGATTTATTGATTGCTCTACCATAAACAAACAAACAAATTAACGTTTCTTGTCGTTATAACCTATTACAGTTTAAAAGTGTTGTCTTGTGTACATTTGAGATATCTTATAATAAATGAAAAAAAACACTTTGTGGAACTACAAAATGAGCTGTAAATTAGGTAATTAATGATAAAGAATGGAACCATTTTGTAACATGCAAGATAATGGGTATCAATAGAGAGCAGCACATTGGTCAAAAATACATTTGAGGTCAAGTCTTACGATTTGGGTAACACCGTGCATTGATTGACGGGGGACTGTGTAATTGTAGATAGTGATACAGGGCTTTCCATCTAGTGGCAACCAGGTCAGTTATGGATAACATAGGAATAGTAACTCCCCAAAAAGGGCAGATGCAACTAGCATTGCCATATGGTACATCTAGTATTGTTGTTTCGGAAGGGGAAAGTTAGCTTAGAAGTTAGATTAAATTGCTGCACTAGCCTCATTACTTATGCACAATAGGTGGTTCCTACTCATGAGTAATTGATGTTGTATAGGTTGTTAAAAGAACTTGGGGATAATAGTATTGGGAGTCTAGAGTTGAGAGTAGGTACTGCAGGTTCGGGAGCGTGATCCTCTGGAGAGAGATAGAGACAAGGAAAGGCCTCAGCCGGAGGGGCAAAGGATCATAGTAATCATAGTAATCTTCCATCATTGGAAATCTCGATAGAGATTGTTGCGATGCCTCTTCTTTTTGCTTTATTCGCGTTAACTTTAAAGGCCCGAGTACAGCACTTGTTGTGCTTTAGAACTGTGTTTGATGTTTTAACTGTATATAATCTGTGCGTATGTAGATTTGCTGTCGTGTTCCAGAAACACGTAAAACAATGACATTTAGATTATAGAGATATGCTACAAAGGAGGGAGAGAGTCTGCTCCAGTAGGGGACAAGATAAGACTCGCGGTCACAATGCAAAGTGAATAAGATTTAAGTTAACATGTGTTGTTCCATGTGTTGTGTAACACATGTGACCGGGCAAAATGCTTTGTAGAGTGCCTCCGACGTGGTATTTCAGTGAGATCAGGTATATCAGATCCGCACTATTACAAGGAGGCAAGCACATGCAAATGCAAATGAACCAACATACCTGGCTTCAGCGCATATACACATGCTCGCATGCACAACACACAAGGTGACACGTTCTTAAATGAGCTTAGCTGTGAATAGGACGTTAAACTAAATAAATTCATGCAATAGAGATTTAAGACAGCATAAGATAAAAGATATATCGTTAAAAGGCGTAATAAGGTTTAATAATGAACGTTTGGCACTGCAAGGTATCCGTAGATAAATGGTACTGGTTCACATGGCACCGGCTAGACCACAATTTGCGTTATTGCACCAAGTTGTCCAAGATTCCACCGACTTACTCTGACGTATGTGACTTATCTACACCACCTGACCCATGCGATAATGACAGTCGTATACTAGATAAGGTCCTGTTAAATGTCACACGACCTTGTAGTAGAAAACCAGACGAATCCAACTGTTAGGCACCAGAATTCGTGTCAGTCCCGTTCCTCATGGTCGCCATGGCTCCTCTCCGATCTTTAGTGTGTTTACTAGTATTATGCTTCTCTACAGCCCAAGAAACAACAGTAGTACCAGGTAAGAACGATTTCCGTGATAATTTCATCCTTTGAAAATATTACTTCAATTCAAATGTACTGTTAAGTTTTACCTGATATCTTACGAAAAATTTTCCAACAAACGCGTTTGAATAAACGATAATGAGTATGTGTTCCTTTAGTGTAGATTTGATATTCGTTTATAAAGTATATTTAACATTTTAAAAAGCTGATGTTTTAATACAGCGCAACATTATTCTTTTTTACATGTTTCACTTACATGCCATTTAAATCCCCATCAGGTCCACGAAATACATTTTCGTGAAGATATGATTCTACATATGCACATGCTTATACGGAACTTTTACTTTAATAGTATACCATAATACAGCAGATTCATTTTTGTTCATTCAGCTTAGATTACATTATTTTTTAAATCAGTTCTAAACGTTTATCTATTGTTTTGTACTGCTCACAAAATAGTCAAGATTGTTGAAAATAATGATTTTTATCTTCGTATAATTAAACAGGGAAGATTATTTTAGATCAATAATTGTAAATCTGTAAAAAAAAATGAACAATTTATGTTTTACAATGTTTCTCATACGTAATAAAACTGTGAGGCCAGAAAATTGTTAAGAAATTTGATATATATCGTAACGTGTCGTATTTCTAAAGACATGGCGTACATCATATTCTGACAATGCTGTTTTTTATTAATTGGTCGTACAATGTTTGTATTGAAACTCCCATGTCTGTGCTGGAGAAGATTATTCCATTTTCTCATTGAAAAAGAAAAATAATTGCTCCTAATCTAGTTGATTTTTTATTCCTATTTTGTTTCTAACAATCAAAGACTTCTGTTTAACATGACGGTACACGTTTTAAGAACATCGCTTGTTTTGCCTACCTGTTGCATTATGATTAATAGTTTATTGGAATGAAATCAAATGCATATTTTTTCCAGAAAAACCTATACAAATGAGTTAAATAATCGCATTTACTGTCAATTGCATAGCTCTACAGATTTATATAGGTTCTTTAAACCACATATGAATGACCGTTTGTATTCACAAAAAATAGGAGTAGAATGAGCGTTATATATTCATAGCTATATTGTGTGGGAAGGAATTTTCGCAAAATATTTATTTGTATGAACTTTCTCTGCTCATTCACGCGACAATAATATATCCATAACTAAAAATGGTTAACAGTATATAGGTACATCTGTTAACAGTATATAGGTACATCTATGTGCGTATAATATTAATTACTTATAATATATGAAATATTATCGACATTCTTGTGTATTTCGAGATTAATTAATTAATTCCAAGGGATTGTTAGCAGTAATTATATAGTAAATATAACTTTCCCGGACGAAAACTAATGAAAATACAGAATAGAAATACACTGCATACGAAACGTTTTAAATTACTATGTTCGGAATTATCGTTGATTTGACGTCATAGAAGTCGGAATTCCTAAACCGAGGCACCACTTTATAGTGTCAAAAGATTTCGACGTTCGTACGAACACCCCTTCGTTTGTAATGTGGCAATTTTCTTCAAATTCAAAAGAAGCAATCAACAGAACATTAAATGATCTCCCTTTGATTATGTCACTTTTTTGTGACAAAATTTAAGTATTGCAGTATTTTGCGACGTTTGTGATGTATACCGTATATGCTTACATTAGGATATCGAACTGTTAAAAGGGGGGCATGGTTACCTGGCATCGTTTCTTATGCTATTTCAAATTCTCGTAAAACGCATGTAAACCAGTTATATTTTTAATTTTGTATCAACTTCTTACACAGTAAAATGCAAACATATATCTCACCGTCTATGCATCACATTTTACTTGAATGGAGGGTTTCCTTAATTCCTTGATTCAACTATGCATATAAGAAATATATCCAATAGAATATCAACTTTAATTTGAATGATGCGTTTTATTACAAGAGAACGTAATAGTGAAATGCTAAAAGAAGTAATCTGTTTTGAGACGTATTTTGATTATATGAAACATTGTCACATAAGTCCCGACATTAATCATTATTTTACTAATAGAGGCACATCTTTCGTTGATATGTGGACTATTATCTTATTTCATGCCAAGGAGTGTACGATAGGGAAATTCAACCCAAGGGGTTTTCAAATTTGGTAAAACCTGAGGCTCTCTCGTTGTGGTCGTTATAATCTGACGTTTTAAAACTAATATTGCATTTGTTAAAAACCATTTCCATAACATATATTAAATGCACAGACTTGAAAGACCCCTTCCTATATAGGCCATTTCACACTCTATATTTTACATTATCTGACACAGTCTGACCCATAAATGTCAGCTATCTCCCATACCGTTAAAGTCAGGCTCTTGTCACCTTGGCACGAAGGCGTTGCGACACTCAGTGGTCACGTTATCAATTATCTCGTTCCCAACATATGGCAAACGATTATCAGTTCACATGGGTGTACTAACCCCTGAACGTAGACATTGATACCTGTATATATGTATGTATTTACTGACCCATATAATTTCGTAAATTAAACATGACAAGAAATTGTAAGGATTATTAAACATAAACTTTTTTTTAATTTTACAACAATTATAAAACAAGTTTTCAACTTGTATTAATCACTTGTATTGGCCCGGATGTTAGTGCGCGGGGGTCTTTGTGTGGGATGAAACCGGAGTACCCGGAGAAAACCCACGTGGTCGGGCAGGTGGCTTTTCACGTCCGATCGGGGACACCAACCCCGTCCGGCTTGGTGAAAGGCTAATGCGCTATCCACTGCACCACCCGACCACCAAATTTCATTATTCAAACATTCCCAATTATTTTAGTATGGTAACACTGAATAATTTAATTTTGGCTATTCCCTCCTATGGTAGACTTTTCCAGGTTATATCGTAGAACCTAAAACACAGACAACACAAAAGTGATGACGTTGTATACTGCAGTGTTTGGCGCGGTATTTATAATTCGAAGTTCTGATTGATTGAAGTTGCTTGGCGATGAAATTACTGTGAAATGTTGTGTTTTGTTCAAAATTATTTTGTTTTTAACAGAAATGGATAATGGATAAATATTCATTAACTGTAAATTTAATTTAATGTTGTCTGACTCATTAAATTAAATTATAAGGGACAGTTGAAATTATAACCAGGAATATTTTTGGGGTTATATGGTATGTACCGGGAAAAAAGTTTGAAATTGTGTGCATGAACCGCTTCGATATTTATGCAAAATGCAAACACAAACAAGTTTTTTCAGTACATACCATATAACCCTAAAGATAATCCTGGTTTTTCCCTTAATAGCATAAGTATTACCATTTAAATGCATTGACGTTATCTTTCAAAAGAACGCTAAGTCCAATAATCCGGTGAATCGTGTATCTCCATAAATACCTATAACAAAATATCAAGTATTTAATGACGCTTATAATAAACAAAAATATATTATAAAACGTATAACAGGATGTTAATGTTCTGTCACAGTACCAGTTCTTAATTTGAATACCTGGTCATATCAAAAAGAAAGAAAATAGTAAGGGTTCCTTAAGTAGTACTAGCCATATATCAAAAAGATAATGAACCGTCTTTCTCTGATTGTAAACATTCCATTACATCAGCCATACGTACACCACACAGGTCTACAAGTATACCAAATGAACTCCAGACTGATGTACATGCTTGTTACTAATCACTTGTTTGTTAACATTTCAAATTTGAATGCGCCGATTTCAGACAAATGCGTAACATATTATATAATGTACAAACTATGAAAAGTGTATCTGATAGAGCTTATAGGCTATCGATATATGATAATTTACAATCAGTTGATCCTTACGATAAGCTAGGATACATCATTCATTTAGTTTTTCAATCTTTTTTTTGTTTTAGGTCACCTGACCTTTAGCTCAAGTGACCTATTGCTATCCGTCTTCGTCCGTCGTGCGACGTGCGTCGTCCGTTAACACTTTACAGTTTCACGTTAAGCTAAAATACTGCCGAAGGGATTTCATTGATACTTCATTGGATTGTTACTGACAACTCCCTAAACAAATGTTGTTATTTTTCGGGTCGATCAGAAATCCAATATGGCCACCAGGGCCGGCCATTTTGAAAAACTATTTCAAACTTAAAAGTCAAGTTCTACTAGGCCGATTTAACTGTAACTTGGTAGGAATTATCAACTAACTCATGGTCCTGACAAAGTATTGTTATTTTTCGGGTCGATCAGAAATCCAATATGGCTGCCACGGCAGCCATTTTGAAAAACTTTCACAAACTTAAAGTCAAGTTCAACTGCGCTTATTTAACTGAAACTTGGTAGGAATGATCGACTCATGATCCTGACAAAGTGTTGTTATTTTTCGGGTCGATTAGAAATCTAATATGGCCACCAGGGCCGGCCATTTTGAAAAACTATTTCAAACTTAAAGTCAAGTTCTACTAGGCCGATTTAACTGAAACTTGGTAGGAATTATCAACTAACTCATGGTCCTGACAAAGTATTGTTATTTTTCGGGTCGATCAGAAATCCAATATGGCCGCCACGGCAGCCATTTTGAAAAACTATTACAAACTTAAAGTCAAGTTCAACTGGGCTTATTTAACTGAAACTTGGTAGGAATGATCGACTCATGGTCCTGACAAAGTGTTATTATTTTTCGGGTCGATCAGAAATCCAATATGGCCACCAGGGCCGGCCATTTTGAAAAACTATTTCAAACTTAAAGTCAAGTTCTGCTAGGCCGATTTAACTGAAACTTGGTAGGAATTATCAACTAACTCATGGTCCTGACAAAGTATTGTTATTTTTCGGGTCGATGAGAAATCCAATATGGCTGCCACGGCAGCCATTTTGAAAAACTATCACAAACTTAAAGTCAAGTTCAACTGCGCTTATTTAACTGAAACTTGGTAGCCTTCATCAACGCATGATCCTGACAAAATGGTTTTTTCGGGTCGATCAGAAATTTAATATGGCCACCAGGGCCGGCCATTTTGAAAAACTATTTCAAACTTAAAATCAAGTTCTACGAGGTCGATTTAACTGAAACTTGGTAGGAATTATCAACTCATGGTCCTGACAAAGTATTGTTATTTTTCGGGTCGATCAGAAATCCAATATGGCCGCCACGGCAGCCATTTTGAAAAACTATTACAAACTTAAAGTCAAGTTCAACTGGGCTTATTTAACTGAAACTTGGTAGGAATGATCGACTCATGGTCCTCACAAAGTGTTGTTATTTTTCGGGTCGATCATAAATCCAATATGGCCGCCACGGCAGCCATTTTGAAAAACTATTACAAACTTAAAAGTCAAGTTCAACTGGGCTTATTTAACTGAAACTTGGTAGGAATGATCGACTCATGGTCCTGACAAAGTGTTGATATTTTTTTGGGTCAATCAGAAATCAAATATGGCCACCATTTTGAAAAACTGTTTTAAACTAAAAGTCAAGTTCTACTGGGCCAATTTAACTCAAACTTGGTAGCCTTCATCAACGCATGGTCCTGGCAAAATGGGTTTTTTCGGATCCATCAAAAATCTACTATGGCCGCTATGGCTGCCATTTTGGAAAAAAAACTATTTTAAAGCTTAAAATCAAGTTCTAATAGGCCGTATTAACTGAAACTCGGTCTAGGAATGATCAACTCATTGTCCAGACAAACTTAAGTTAGAGTTATACTTTTTTTAATCAAAGTGTGGTAGGGATGATTGACATCATTATCTCCACTTCATATTTCAACAACAAAAATTAATACTGTAGGACTCAAGTGACCGTTAAGGCCCATGGGCCTCTTGTTAACTTGTACATTTAGTATCATGCATTTCAATTTGTGAAAGTCTCTCTTTACAGTGTTATTTGGCTCTAAATGACTTTATTTATCGATGAACTGTAACAAAATACAAAATCAAGGCAGTATAATACACTACATTATTAAAAACGCATTAGATATAATATTCAAAACTTTGGATGAAGAGCGTTATCATTTTTCAAATATTCGTCCTTTGACATGAAGATAGATATATTTTTTTCAAAACACCCTGTCCATTGTTTAATAAATTCAAATGTGTATAAATCGGAAAAGGGGGCAATAGTAATTTATTCCCCAAAATTAAGTTTGTGACTTATTGTTTTCGATCCATTTTTTTGTTCTTTTCCCCTCCCAACCGCAGCGCGATTATGCCTAAACTGCAACTTGGATAACAATGAAATTTTACATTAGTATCGGTAAGCGTTAATGTACAACAAACATTCTGTGCAGATCCCAATCCAAGATGGTCGTTACAGGCTCTGATTGGTCGAAATTAGGATAGTGTGCCAATTCGCTCTAATTCGGTATAAATGTGTTATTATGATATGATATAGTACAATGACTTACGCAAACATCATTTACACAATCACAACGGCAGGGGTAGTTTTGGGGACTTTTGTAACGTTACAATAATTTTACTATCTGGCAATTATATCCTCCCTATCTCTTCAAAACAATTTGAAACTTTTCAGTAAGCACAATTTTATTTTTTATATAGCATTAACTAATATTTTAATTTTCTATTATGCTTGGTTTGCGAATATGTGGAAATACCAGCTAATAAAAAAACAGATTGCTCCACCAAATCGCGTTTATTGCTATATGTAGCAGCTTTTTATTTGATATTTCATTGTGCAGATTTAAAACCGCTGATAGTAAATTTTGTAAAATCACAGTAGTGACAAAATAACTAGAATCAATGCGTAAACAATAAATTACATTCTATAAACTCTGAAATCGATGAATGGTATCCTAGCTATAGGGAATGGCGCCGAGACGAATGTATCCTCGCCCGTCCCAGGACCGTTCATTCTAGTCGACATGGAAACGTTTGGCCTGTTAAAAAAGATATATAAATATCCATAGCCACTTCAAATTTTAATTTGATTTTCACTTTTTCAAAAAAATAAAAAGTAATAATAAATAATTCAATGATATAACACCGTCCTGTCTCATTTTAAATAATACCTACTTTGATGTTGCCAATATGACATAAATAAACGCTAAAAGGTTGAAATTTCGGCAGTTTTATTTTCTATTTAATTCTTCGAAAGCGTATGTAAGTTTTTTAAATAAGTGAGGTCAATAACAAGATAAAATCGCATATAGTTGATTCATCAAATCAGTATAAATATTGGAATTTGTTTCAGATTTTATTATGCTCTTCAAACCGGAGGACATTTTTCGCTGTTGATTTCGCACATGTGGATAAATGGGTTTATTTCTTAAAAACACATGAGCATGTGCATTTTGTTTTAATTAATTAGATTATATTATTTAAGTAAAGCCAACGGAAGATACCTCTAACATACAGCACAAATGTTTTAATTAATGTTCCACACAACATATAGCTGAACTCTTACCATAACATAAAGTAGCACATGATTCACGTATGTATATATATGTAGATGCGATGTTACAGTATCAACTAGGCCGTTAACTTTAATCAAATTCTCATCAAGCTGCAGCCACAAACGACGTGTACTTTGCATATTTCAACTTATTTTAGCTGTAGCTTGCTGAGCAAAAAAGGATCAAATGTTATACTAATGAAAAAACTGACCTCATAAGGACTGAGGCAATGTCGAAGTGGCATCTTTAAATGAAATGTCCTAAACTATTATATTTTTATTAATATCAATGCTAAACGGCCCATCAACACAGGATAGGTCATTAGGGCCAACAAATGGTCGACAAAAACAAATGCTGAATAAAAACATTAAACCAAACTGAAAGGTTAAAGCCAAACGTCAAATGGAATATCGAAAGAGGCTATGGTGACTCCAGCAGCTTTCAGATTGTCTCAGATGTGTTTTCCAAAAGAGATTTAAGACATGTAATGTTGTTATAGAAATGTTCTCGAGTTGACTGAAAGTCGATACTATCTAGTAATAAGTGCTTTACTGTAAAAGGTTCCCGACACGCTATGCATTGAGGCTGCATTTCACGTTTTCATAAATGACAATGGGTGATGTATGAATGACTCATCCGGAGACGGGGAAAGGACAACCTTGTCTCAGCGCCTCTCTCTGAATAGGATTTCTAATTTTAGCTGTAGTGTGCTTGCTTTTTAGTTTATAGGATTTAGCGTCTTATTCACAGCTAAAGTCATTTAAAGACGTGCATTCATGCGTACAAGGTATGCATGTGTGCTATAGGCGGTATTTTGGTATTATTTGTCTTTTAAGGAGTATACAATATAAAACATGTTCAGCTACTAGACAACTATTCATAAGAACATTCAAATAGTCTGTTCGAACAACAATTAAAACAGTAATACTAAATATAATATGTTTAAAAACTGCTTATTAGCCTTTTTCTGTGTTTTCCCTTTGGAGGATATAGAGGAACCAAAACCCTGTATCTGCTGTTCCCATTTATACATACATGTATATATATCTGGTTGAAAGAGCGTTTCTCATGCCGGCCTTAGAGTGATACCTCAATGAGATATTTCGTTTGATACTTTTCAGATATCAATGCGAACGTGATCTCGAGTTGGCAATTCATGTATTGTCAGAACTATAATTGTATAGAGTACATAAATTATGGGGTATTTTTTTAATCTGAAATAGTTGATTTTAGTTTTCTTTATTTCTTTTTTCGCAAAGCTTTGCAATTAACAATAACTTGAACCGTTTTTCGATTTTTGCAGGATGCTATATCCGCCAGGCAGATATTGTTTTCCTGTTAGATTCTTCAAACAGTGAAGGAGCCGCCAATTTCGAAAAACAGAAGGATTTCGTTTCCACGTTCGCAAATTCACTTGTCATCGGTCCCGATGATATCCAGTTAAGTGTGGTGACCTTCGAATCAAGCATCCATAACCAATTTAACCTAGACACTTACGAAAACAAAACTGACCTCTTGGATGCAATTAAAAATGTTTCCTTCATAGCTGGTAATACGCTTACTGAGAAAGCCCTCAACTTTGTTAGAACCGTCAGCTTTACGAACTCTTCTGGCGATCGTGAGAACGTGGATAATATTCTGGTCGTTTTGACCGATGGTCACTCTACCGACAGGAACAGCACTCTCGATGAGGCTGAGATGCTTCGTAACACATCCACCAAAGTCATCACCATCGGAATTGGAGCCGACATCGATGCCTCCGAGTTAACGGCTATTGCCTCAGACCCATCAAATGCATTCACTGTCCCTGACTTTGATGCTCTTTCCGGAATCCAGAACTCCATCTCCGCCCAGGCTTGTGTTAAAATTGGTGAGCACCTTTATGTTTGCTTGTTTGTTTGTTTGTTTCTTGGGAGTTGTTGTGTTGCTACAACCAATATCAAAGGTTCCCAGCAAGAGTTTGAAAATTGAATAGAGAAATAACGGAATGGGACATATTATATTTAATGCAACCTTGACAGCAGTTCAATTGTGGTTTTGTCTTGTATTTCTCCTCGGCCATATAAAATACCACGTATACTAAGATAGGAAACGAGATCAGGGATTTATCGATGATTGCATTATATACATATGTGTGAAAATAGCTCCAGTAAAATGAAAATGCAAATTATATCCTAACTGATGTATTGCAAATACAACAATTATGTTATTTTATTATATGGGTTTTTTTCTGCTCGTTGTCACTGAGCATGTCGAAATCCATTAGAAGATTACAAATTCTTAGTGAGAAATACTTTTTTTATTGTCAAATTACCGAAAGTACCTAGATTACTCTCGCTTATAAAATGAACTGTTTTAAGATTGGATCATCTACTTATCAAGTATATAGAATCTGTTTGTCAGGAAATATTGTGCATAAATGTTTTTTTCGTTCGTGTAAGCAGAAAAATGTACAAAATAACCATTTAAAGACTTGGATCGCTCACTAAACGAGTATAATAACATAAATCCTTGAAATCATCAGCTTCCCTCTTACTATAGTTATCGGATTTTGTTTAATTTCAGTACCAACAACCACCCCCGAGCCAACCACTATCCCAACCACCACTGAACCACGTAAGTACACTTATTCCTATTTTAATTAGTTTTTATTGTCATCATTCTAAAATATATTTTAACCTAAACGATTAAAGAAATTCACAAATAGGAACCTTACGTTATTATACGTTCTGTTTTGCAAGGGATATATGTAAACTTTATCATGTTCAATGGATCAGTAAGATCACCCATTGTTGCATTATGTACAAAAATTATGAAACAAGGTTATTCGTTATTTCTTATTAAAACAAAGAATTGTTTTTATCTCGTGAGCTAATTTTGTCGTAATATGAATATTGCTGAATTGTATGGATTGTAAGAGCATTCATGTTTTAGCCATAGTCTATTTAATCTGTCTGTCAATCAAATTCTTTCATTGAACATATATAATTCGAGCACCACATTTAACACATTTACTCGGTAGTGTATCGACGTACAATAAGCAAAGATTATATTTTAATTGTTTTTTACATAATGTTATTATGAATTATTTAGCAATTAAGCTCATTGAAACATCATTAAAATCATCCATGAAAAATCATTGCAATCAATGTTTTAATAATGTTCAATAAATAAATACTGTTGCCTTTTTGTATTTGTGTGTGTGAAAATATGCTTTTGTTGTGAATTACCTGCCTCCAAAAGCATTATAAGTATGTTGCAAATGTTCGTGCTTCGTTGTTTCGGTGAAAAATGTGCTGACAATCCCACGTGATGCCTTGGTTGGAGTATGCTTTGATTTCATTCCTGTCAATTTTTGCTGCTTTTCAGTGTAGTCAGTTGCAGCTTTTTTCCTAATGGGTTCCATGAGGTCGTTTTTGACTTGCTTACGATGGTCTGATATAAAAAAAAATGTTTGTCCTTGCTTTTTGCGTGCAATTCTTGTAAGTTTCCCATAAATGTGTCATGTTCGTGGCTGTTCAGTTCTGCTTCTACTGTCGTTATTGTATGACGTCGTAGGCTTGTTTGCTCGATTTTGCAGTTTCTTGGACGAATGCTTAGGAATTTGTTTTTATTTCTCAGCTTGCTTCAACCGTGTGGCCGACATTGTATTTTTACTGGATTCCTCCAACAGTGAGGGAGCTGAAAAATTTGAATTACAAAAGAATTTTGTGCGAAATTTCGTTACGAGATTTGTGCCAAAACTCGGTTCGGACGGCGTTCAGATCAGCGCAGTAGCCTTCGAGTCTAATGTTCATAACGCTTTTGATCTGAATGAGTATGAAAACGAAACTGACATTCTAGATGCAATTAAAAACATCACTTTTACCCCCGGTAATACCCTGACCGACCAGGCTCTGAGATTTGTCCGAGAACACAGTTTCACAAATACTTCCGGAGATCGTCCAGAAGCAAACAACATTCTCGTAGTTTTGACCGACGGCCAATCTACGGACAGAAACCAGACCGAGGTCGAGGCTAACTCCCTTCACAGTACAGATACCAAGGTCATTGCCATCGGAATCGGCGCTGGTGTAGATGACACTGAACTGGGCGAAATTGCATCCCAGGCAGGGCTTGTATTTACTGTACCTGATTTCAAAGCGCTCAGCACTATTGAATCTCAAATTGGACGTTCAGCATGTGCCACACTACGTAAGTCTAGAAGAAGTGGTAACGTTGAGTTAGAAGTCATCCCCTTGTTATTTTGTAAAGTAGTGATTGTAACGTAAGTTATACTGTTATTAAGGGGTCTCATGGAGTTACCATGCATTGACCCTATGTCAGTCTGTGATAGCGATCACGTTTGATTCAAAGCAGTTGTACCATTTGACGTGTATGCTATTGAGGTCTACCTGTCGTGCTAATCAATTCTGTTGAAGTTGAAACATAATGTTTTCCATTTAAAGCACTGGGTTGTTGTCTTGATTTGTCATACAGCTTCAGGCTGCCGTTGATACAAATACGAGTGACTTTAATTGCAGAGCTAGGGTAACATAGTGTTTGTATGTCTGGATTTTGATTCGACTGCCTCTTGTTTATCTCGTAGAACGGTTTCATTTTGATATTTGTGTTGAGCGCTACGTTTACTGAGGAATTTGGTTCATGTGGTTTCCTTTTTCTTTCTGTTTTGCCTTTTAACTAAGTGTCAGATATTTACATTATGACACCATTCGATCGCCCCCATTTGGTTATATTTTTAAATTATCAGTTATTCGGATATAATTATTTCTTTCTGAATGTGTTACATCTCTAGTACTTGAAAGAAAATATGTATGATAGTAACATAGTGGTAATTATAGAATCCGGTTTTGTGTTGATGTTATAGTTTAAGTGATTGCTGTTTCATGTCCATGTTACTTCTATAAGGATATAATTAATATTTCATTCCCAAAATTTCCATCAATCACTCACAAAATTGTCCGACAGCCAAAGTTACTCCTCCATAAAGTCACATATGAAGCTTATTTAAGGTACAGCAAAAAAAGAATTGAAAATGCTGTTGATATTGCGAACGTATGTAATGAGAGTAGACCCAAGCTTGTAGTATGTAGCTTTGAAATTTGAATGAATAAATGACAAAGAAAACACCTTAGATAGAATTGAACTTCGGTTAACAAGAGAACGGATTTGAAGTAGTCATATTTTGCCCTACATATGTATAAAAAAATACCTCGGCGATTTAACGTAGTTTTTTGGTGTGTTTTTTTTATATTATATTTTTATCAATTACAGCACCAACCACTACAACCACAGCAACAACTACTACGACAACACCAACAACCACAACAACAACGCCCACTACAACTACCACGACAACAACACCGGGTAAGTCGACATTACCGGTATGTAAGTTGCTGTGTATTTAGTTGTCTCCCTTTTAGTATACAATTCGAATAAATTGATATTTTTTATTCCCCCTCCCTACCTTTTGTTTCTTTGATTTCTTTTTCTTATGAAAATATATTTCAGTGTGAGTACATTTACATTAGGATATAGTCAATGTTATTTTCAAATCGGGACATTAACACAAGTTTTTTCAAGTTTGAAATATATTTTTATTTATAAAATTATTAGCATAAATCAAATTTTCTCCAACATTTAGCTATTTACATTAATTAACACGTAATACAAAAATACATTGTATTCATTGATATAAAAGATCATCAAGTAAAAATAGTTACTGATCTCGTTACATAGGAAAACGATATAGTCTTTAATTGTCTGGATGCATTCAATATAAGAAATTCTTCTAAACACATAGCTCACTTATTATCACACATATACCGGCTTAGGGCTGGGGTGAGGTATGTTTTAAAAGGATCTTATCATTTACCCCTCTGAAAGAAGTTGTCATGAGCTATATGCACTAACCAATAAATAGTAAAATTTGAAATATTTAGAAATAATAAGATATCTTTATAAGCAATAATTAGATATTATTGTTGTATGATGACATGTCAGTATTGTTTACTTTGTTGTATATTCTAGCAAAACTGCATGTTAACCTTAAAATGATTAAATATACATATACAGATATTTGAGCTTTTCTTATTTTTTACTAGGACGGTTTTGTTATGTTTTAGGAGCAAAAGTCTTTGGACTTTTTGTATTATCATGAGAAATAATATGTGACGATTGTTCACAGGTACATTTAAAAGTTACACAGCACATTAACAGTGTTTGTGTGTGATAAATTATAAAGAATATGATGATACATGTCTGCAAGGTTTTGAATTGTAAACATGACTATTGTGGTACAATAAATTTCGGTAATATCTGCATTGCCTTCAATACAAACAGCCTCTGAGTTTTGTGTTTGTTTGTTTATTTATTTATCTCCGAGGTTTGAATCGCGCAACCCGTTTATCCGAAAAGTAATACGTCTTAATGACGTTGTTTACGCGCTCAATTTCTTATCATTTATGTTGACGAAACCGCTTGCTTGCCGTGATTGCTTGTGTTTGAATTCCAGGGTGGTAAGATATGTTAATACAGCGCTAAATTTGCCCTTGTATGCAAATAATTCTTTGACATATAATAGGACGTTAAACAAAATCAAACAAACAAACAAACAAACTTTGACATATGCCAGCGCTTATTTCAAGAAATGATTGTCACTTGAATTTGTTTGTTTAATTGTTGATGTTTTCTGTAAAGACTTGTGAAACATGATGATTTTTATATTGCGCTTACTTCGGACGTGCAAAGGAACAAAGTTGCTTTTAATTGAAGTTGATTCAGCGGGAACGGTTGTACTTAAGTGAAAGGTAAGTATAGCTGGGAGAAGCAAGACAGTACAACTAGTTTGTATCGTGCTATGAAAAATTGCTTCGCTTAATCGACGCCTAGCATCAGCACCAGCATACGCTTAACATATTGTTGTGGCTTTGAAAATTAAATCACGTTGTTTCAAAAAGGGAATATTCATAAATAAGTGATTCAAAATGAATAGAGGAACAAATAGGGATCGAGTATACATATTTCCTGGATGCATACAGATTTATTACAAATTTCTATTAGTTATATTCTATTTACCTTACAATGACAAATACCTACATAAGGATACTGTAATTATCTTTCTTTTGCGGGATATTTATGTTATGAGTTAATCTGAGAAAGAGGCCATCGCAAATTAAAATTTATACATTTAAAATCCAAGATATTTTCCCCTAAATATTCGTATCACGAACTCTTATCTGCCCGAAAATGGCTTTAAGTACAATCGCAAAAATTTATGGATTTAAGTGTCCAGGTGATATTCCAAAATGCTATAGGTGTTCTACAATACTTGTATCCAATTTGGTTATATTCTAACTGCAGCCTGCAATGTCACTCAGGCCGACATTGTCTTCCTGCTTGACGCCTCCAACAGTCTTGGACAAGTCAACTTTGATCGTCAGATACAGTTCGTACTTGATGTGGTCAATGCTTTGGACATTGGACCAGATAACACACAAGTAGCAATCACCACATATCAAACGGTTATACATAATGTGTTTCAACTGAACACGTATCCAAACAAAATAGACATGGAAAACGAAATCAGAAAAATACAATTTAAACCCGGGAATACCTTCACGGACAAAGCGTTAAAATACGCTCGAGAGGTGATGTTCCAACCGGCAAGCGGTGATCGACCGGATGTCCGAGATGTACTGATTCTGATGACCGATGGACAATCTTCTGACCGGAACGGGACGTTGAATCAGGCTGAGGAAATCCACAATAAGACCCAGATTGATGTCATAACCATAGGAGTTGGAAATGCAATCGACAATGCAGAATTACTTGCAATTGCGTCCCAGCCGTCTTACTCCTTGTCGGTAGATGATTACTCTGAGTTGAACAGCATACTCGCAGAGCTTGGATTTCAGACAACAGGATGCATCAGTACGTGATTCAAATTATTTAAGTTCTTTATTGAAATATTTTTTTCTTTACTCATTACAATCGTTCCCATTTAAAGTTAACTTGGTTATAGTAAGAAAACAAATATATTGAATGATTAATCGATCTTCTTTTTGTATTATAACGATTAAATATGTGTAGTCCTGTCATAGAAATAAGCTATTTTTGATTGTTTTAAACGAAAACCTGACCTTTTTTTTCGCTTAAGTTTGCAGTTGTATAGGGTTAACGTCAATGGAACAGTCATGTGAAGGCGGGTGTCCCCTAAGGAGAAGGCATATATGATACTGTCCGATTCTGCAGGGGGCTCCATATTGATCGCCTCTTATGAGAGCCTATCATGAGATACAAAAGGCCTCCCATATGAACAATTACTGAATGAAACTTAACGAAAGCATGCAGCCATCATAAAACGTTTGGTTTAGTATTGTTTAACGTCCTATGGATGCGTGCGTGTTTTGGGAGGCTGCGATATGTTAGTGTTTGAACATCATAAACCGAGTCATGGAGCCCCGGATACATGTAAAACATTACACAATTATTTTTAAAAAAATAGTTTATAATATTCAATAATTATATAAACATTCACAGATTTTGTCAACGTTTATTGCATATGTATTTTTTCAACTGGATTTTTTTTTTAAATCAATGTTATTTATATTGGGTAGGCGTGCAACTTTTAATTGATATTTAACACTCTCTAGGCTGTTATTTGAATTAAAGTACTATAAGCATTGGTACATTCCTTTGTGGTTGAAAGTTATTTAGATCTTTTCATGGTACAAACTTTCAATGATAGCACAAATACACAAACAGCAGTTAAGTAGATCAATTGAATCTTTTGGGTTGTTTGCGGTCCCAAAGCAACCACGCAAACGTGGAATATGTATACATAGCGAACTTTAGATTATAACGTATCATTTACCCTTGTTTGGAGTTAAACAGAAATATATTCAAACACTCGAAATTGCCGAAAAAGAAGCAGTTAAATAAGTGAACGTTATTTTTCAATGTTATATTTTTTATTACTTTACCAAAGTCACTCTGCCATCGACAATATCAACGACGACAACTACAACAGAAGCAACAACAACGATCACTACGACACCGCCGGTTCCTTTGGACCTCGGCAAGTTATCTTCCCTGCATCGACTTCAATTAAAAGCAACAATACTTTTAGTATATAAAATAATACATTTTGTAATTTACTCTAAAAAGGAGTAGATTTCTGATACTCTTTTGATGTTATCGCCAAATAAAAACATATAATGTTTCGTCACTAAACGTAAACATTTCAATTATGTTTAGTTGTTATGTTAACATCAAATAGTTTTTGCCAAAGTAGGGGTGGGGATTTCACAAAATGGTATATCTAATACAAAAAATATTACGTAATCTGTCAACAGATTGTAACAGAACAGTTGCTGATGTTTTATTTCTTGTGGACTCTTCGGGAAACGTTACCAGAGAACAGTTTCAACAGGAGAAAGATTTTATTTCGAAGATAGTAGAAGAGTTTACCATCAGTCCCAACGATGTCCAGGTGGCCTATGCGACATTTTCAGCAGAGGTCCACAGCAGTTTCTTATTAAACAAATGGAACAACATCAGTAATATCCTTGAAGGCATTTCAAACACTGTCTACTCGCCTGGAATATCGATGCCCAGTTTGGCTTTAACATTTTCTGAATCAGTATTCAAACCGGAAAATGGTGACAGGGCTAACGCAACAGATATTGTCTTCTTGATCAGCGCCGGAGAGACAGTGGATGCGTTAGAAACTAGTATAGAAGCCCAAACTCTCAAGGATAATAATATTACCATTGTCACCTTTGCTTTGGACAACTCAACTGAACTTCAGAATATTGCATCCCCATCATTCGCCATCAAAGACGTAAACACTACAACAGCCGGTCTGCCTGCCCAAGTTAAAGCAATGATAGATCAAATATCGGGCCTTGTTCCCTGTCCAACTACTACGCCTGGTAGGTTTCTACTTATCATGTCCGATTATTAATCAGCATAATAAAATGAACTCTTATTCAAAAGATCTCCAAAAGATGCATGGTAAATTTAACAGTAAACAAAAATAAAAATATTAAGTATCGCTTATTTCTGGGCAATAAGATGATTGATGAATGGACATATTCGCTAATAATGTATAAGATTACATATACTTCGTTGTAATATTATGTATAATAACAATTATGTTTGGTGTGATGTATTCATTATAATGAATGCTCTAAATCACTCATGTCGATGTGCCGTAAACCAAAACAAAAATCACTATGTGTGAAAAATTGTCTATTATATTTATAGACCAGGAAATAACGTATATATATAAATCTGCATTCATACTATATATAGATCAGGACAGCTGAATTATGTCTTTTTTAACTACAATAGTGATGATATTTCATATATTTTGTTTATATATTTTTATTTATTTATTTTGTTTTGTTTAATTTGAATTCGATTTCGTTATCTTAGCTACAACACCAACCTTACCGACTACTCCAACGACTATCCCAACTACAACCACGACAGTTACTGACGGCAAGTAACTCTTGTCATTGGTTTTTCATTTGGTTTTTCCGTTCAAATATTTGTGAAACGTTTATACCGTATTGTTCTGATAGTATGAAGATTTCCCCTTGTGTGATCAACCTTTTACAGTCAAACATTTTATGATTGAATTCACTGATTTCAAACAAATACGTGACAGATTATATAAGGTACTGTCTATGAAGCGTCTATTCGATACAGTCTCCTTACAATTAATATATGAGTATTTACACTCAAATATCTTTACAATAGGATATGATATATTTTACAACCAATTCGTTTGCTGTTGATGAATTGTGACAGCTTGTACACCTTTTAGACTTCTTAGCCCACCATCACCATATAGTGCCATAAGATATATAACAGATAATCCGACTAAATAAATGGTAATGAAACTACACTAAATTTAAGATACAACCATTATTTTTGTTTGTGTTCATAATATTATCACAAGTAAACAACTGGCTTATATTAATAATGTTAACAATAAGGTTTACAGTGTGACGTAATATGATATCTCCAAATGATGTATTGGATATTTTTCCTAATATTTCCCTTTGTCATATTAACAGCTTGTAGTAAGACTGTGGCTGACGTCTTGTTTCTCGTGGATTCTTCAAACAGTGTCGATGACGATAGGTTTCAAGCCGAGAAGAACTTTACATCTCAGGTTATCCAACAATTCACAATAGGCCCTGATGATGTTCAGATCGCTTATCTGACATTCGAATCAGTCGTACACCCTCAATTTCAATTTAACACGTTCAACAACTCTGCCGACGTTCTTGATGCCGTTCAGGCTACAAATTTCACGCCAGGGAATACATTTACCAACCTCGCATTGCAATATGCCCGTGAAAATATTTTCACACCAGAAAACGGTGACAGGGCAAATGTTACTGACATTATCATTCTTATGAGTGATGGCCAATCGACTCTACCGTCAGAAACTGCAATTGAAGCTGACCTTATTAAGGCCCAAAATGTAACTATTGTAACCTTTGCTATAAACACGAATACGGATGGCTTGCCTGAATTGCAGGATATAGCATCACCAACATATGCTGTAAATACATCATTTCCGGGACTCATTTCGAAAGTTAATGGCTTGGTTGACACAATTTCCGGACTATCGTTCTGTCCCCCGACTGGTAGGTCATAACAAATTTGAGCAGGAATCGCAAAATGATAAGTAATCCAACGTTGATTTTGTTGCAAAAAAGGACTATAGCTGATCTAAAATGATTGATGCACAAATGAATTATCAGAGAGTAAAATATCTCGGTTAACTAAAAAAGTTAAATAAAACATTTTATTTTTTTATAAACAATAAAGTCGTAACAATGTGAAAACATTGTAATCAATTAACTAAACCTGCTGTTTCAGTTCCTACCACTCCTCCACGCAAGTATATTTAGCAAACAATATATAGTTACCATGTAAAGCTTTATTTCAATGTGCGTTAGTACACCAAACCAATTGCTTAATAAAACGTATGATTTTATCTCAGGAGATGAGATGAAAAGTTTAGGAAGAAATGACTTCAAATTTGCTTTTTTTAAGCATATGGAACATGTGATTTGCTTTGTCAAGTGTAATGATAGTTAAACAAAATTGCGTAGTATCATATCCACATGATTTTACACTGCTTTGGTATAAAGAACATGATGTAGTTGGTGATGTCTTTGTCCCAAGTTGCTTGTAATCACTGTCGGATCTCATGTTGATTCATAACAGGAAATGACAGCGTTTTCATTGAAAGTGAGCATCTATAAAAAGGCAGAATTTCAGTTATATAAGAAGGCATACGGTGATAATGTTGCTTATACAAAGCTTTCGTTGGAAATGATGCGCAGTGAAATTGCTTTTAGGGCGCGATTGTCTGGAAATGATAATAACAATACCTGTTTTAAGTATAGTAATCGATTAATGACAATTTGCAGAGAAGAAATGATACCATGGTTAGCTGAAAAACATTTTAAAGTATTGCAACTAATCAGTAAACGTCCGATCTTAACAATATTAGTGCAGCTTATTATATATATATATATGGCATGCAATATATATGAAATATATATGAAATAATAACATAACGGCATGTAGATTGTATATGCAAAATAGTCTTCTTCCATCATTTTAGGCGTTCCTTACAAAATTGTCCAATACAAAAACCATTTGCAAATGAATATTGTTTACACCAAGTCTGGCGTAGTACCAAACGTGTTTCCTATAAAAACAAAACGTGAATTTTCCGCTGTTTGTTTTTTCTCAAATAATGCTACATATGTACTGCTACACATTGCTTAGCTATGAAGCGAAATGTGGTAACATTCATTATAGGATTGTGCGGAATATGAATAATTATACATCGTAATTCCAGCCTGCTACACCCCTGAAGCGGACATCGTATTTTTGATGGATTCGTCAAACAGCCTTGGGCCGGATAATTGGGAAAAGGAGAAGGAATTTGTAAAGAATCTTATAGGCGATCTAAAAGTAGGTACCAATGACATGCAGGTCAGTGTCGTCACATATGAATCCAACCCCGCTGTCCAGTTTTACTTAAATCAATATGACAACAAAAATGATGCGATGTCAGCTGTTACGAACATATCGTTCCATACTGGAAACACCTTGACGGGGAAAGCTTTGGAGTTCGTCCGTGATTCCGTGTTCGTCAGTGCAGCCGGTGATCGTCCTAATGCGAACAACATACTGGTTGTCCTTACCGATGGCAAATCAAGCGACTCCCAGGTAACTCTGGAACAGGCTTCTCTGTTGAAAAACGACAGCGTCAAGGTCTTTGCCATTGGAATCGGACTTACTGACGATGGAAAGGATGAACTAGGAGCTATTGCTACTGACGAAAATCATGTCTTCCAAACTTCCGATTTCTTCACGCTTTCATCGCTTCAATCGGAAATCGAGCTTACTCAAGTCGATTGCATCAGTAAGTTATTTTATCAACAAGGTTTCATTAATTAAAACTAAATATCTCTACAATATTTAAATTAACTGCAAACTGTTGGTCTGTTCCATATGCAATAAGCCACTTTAAATGTTGATGTTGACGATTTCCTTTTGTCTTCTCGTTAATTTGATGTCATTTTTATTTTACATTTGCTTTGTATCGCAATGTATTCGCCCTATTTGCCGTCCCTGTGTCTATGGGCCGTTAAGCATGTGATAATAATGATATGTGTAATACTCACCACTTAGGAATTGATATATCTGTCAGATATACCTAATCACAAGTAGCATTGACCAATAATCTACAGCCATTGCACTCAAAATTATATCAATTTATTGTTGTCCATAGATGGAACTAGACGTGTTAATATAAGGTGATAAATATATCTAAAAATGTGTTACAACATTTGATGTATAAACTATAAAAAATATATACAATTAAGGATTTATATCAACTATAATCTGTATGAAGTAGAAAATATACGTACATTTCAGGCACTACCGAACCACCTATGACAACAACTCCTACAACCACGCCCACAACAACGTCTGTTCCAGGCAAGTACCGGAAATGACGTTACCATATTCCTTTCCGGCAGGAGCCAATATTACTTAATCAATAGATTGCACTTATGAAAGCATGTAATTTGTTATCAGTATCAGTATAGAGATCTGTTTGGAATATAACTGCATGTAATGATATTTACGAAAAAAATCATTTTCATTATATAATATGTATTATTGTAACATATTCCAGAGAAATCTTTATAACCTTTTTTAAGCCTAAGAAAGAATTGAGCTTGATAACATCTGCTTGATTCAATTTTACCTATTTTGTCTGGGCTTCAAAAAGAGTAAAAATTAAAAATGGTATTATTATTGCTTGGCAAAATGTTTCAATATGTTTGTCTTTCCCTGTAACGAATTTGATATTATTTCGAAACCATTTGACAAAAGTCGGATCTCCAAATCATAGGAACCTTCTTTTTGGCAAAATTTTCCCTTCTCTTGCGGAAAACATCATGTTATTCCCCATATATAATAGTTATAACAAAAACTTTTGGTTTGCGTTAGATATTTGAATATTGATTTCGAAGGAATATGCATGTATCTATTTTGTCTTTCGACGAGAATTACTGAATTTTCTTTTACATAAAAGTATAAGAATGATTCAAAGAGGATAGACACAAGAGATTGGTTTATGAATGTTTCTTAGCTATTGGAACCGTTTTAAAGTAGAGATAAAGGTGTGTTTTATCGAAGCGCTAACTATATGTAAACTTACTTTACAATATTTATGAAACAAGTAATTACTCGCCGTTGTTGACATGGATATTAGAACGCGGGGGTCTTAATGGGGGAGGAAACCGGAAAACCCAAATGGTCGGGCACGTGACCCCTTACCTTTTATAGTCTGATCGTGGAATCGAACCCAGGCCGCCTTAGTGAAAGGCAAATGCATTATTCACTGTGCCACCTGACCATCCTTATTTGATATCTGTAATATAATGTCAATCTTAATGTATATGGCAGATTGTGATCAGAGGCGAGCTGACATCATATTTGTACTAGACTCTTCAAACAGCGAGGGACTTGAGAACTTCAACAAGCAACTCGATTTTGTTAAAAACTTCGTTGAACTGGTCAAAATTGGTCCCAACAACGTACAAGTAGGAGTAGTAACGTTTGAATCTGAAGAACATAACGAGTTTGATTTGAATGAGCATTTGAATTCGAAAGATCTGGTAAATGCTATTGATAGTATTACTTATAAGCCTGGCAATACATTTACCGGAAAAGCATTAGCCCTGGTAAACAATCACAGTCTAACTGTTGCCGCCGGTAATAGGCCGTCTGTAGACGATATTGTCATAGTCATGACGGACGGCCAGTCTACTGACCAAAATGAAACACTAGAGGAAGCCGCTTCGCTGAAATCGTCGTATCCAGACATCGACATATTCGCCATAGGGATCGGGGCCGCCGTTAATGATGAAGAATTAGCAGCCATCGCCACTAGCAGCAACAATATCTATCATGCACCAAATTTCCAGTTTATATCCGAGATCTTGCCTCTACTTGGAAACAGCACCTGTCTCCCACGTATGTCATTGATGCATCTTATTGGATTTTATGTTGTTTGCATAACTTGGACTGAATGATATTTCTCGTGTAGTTTTGAAATAACGGTTTTATAAATAGCATGTGCATTTTGCCTATCAAAAAAAATCATCTGACAATGGCGCACGTCGAATCATAACAAGCTCCAAAAAAAGTCGTTGCATCAGCATTACTTTGAGGGTTGTTACTAACGAACGAGAAAATACTCCTCCTTTTTTATTCAAAATACATCACCTTTCATACGTTATGTTATAGCTCCAACGGAAAAAGGTATGTATCAAACATGCATTGCTTGTTATGGAAAATGAGTTATCGCTTTATAACATGGTGATTCGTTTTATTATTGCCCATCACAAATAATAATGTCTTTCTAAAAGCGTTGCGAACAATTAAGAATTGCTTTGCTTTTCAACAAAACTAGCACGATTGCATTGCTTGTACTCTGAACGGAGGTTAAATCATTGCAATGAGAACAGCTTTGCTTTGACAAACAAATGTATGAAAATGTGCAAAACTATACTGTTTGTTCTTTGAAATGCAGCTTAATCATTGTGAAAGATATTTGCTTTCACAAAGAAACGCCTTTATTTATAAAAAAAAAACCGATTGACTTCCATAAATGATGTCAAAGCATTGTCAGATCGTCAGACTCGACTTATGTGGAAACCCTGCATTTGGATTTTCTTCCATGCTTTCTACTTGTGGACACGAATGCGACTAAAACGTTTGCTGTTCCAACTGATATACTTCATTGCTCATAATGCCCTATTTGGCAATACCACGTGTTAACCGTTTTTCCAGCAAGGAATGTTGTTCTGTCCCCTGACCAACAACTAACTAAAGTTGTTTAAATCGATAGCTACTACTCTCTGCTTGACGTTCTGCTTTAAACAGGGGGCGGTAATGATTGGTTAGCACGCTGTCAGAATTGTGTAACTGGGTGTTACTTTCCGAGTTACCGTTTCCAGATGCGACACTTTGGAGTAACCCTTAATAGCTCCAACATCATTGGCAAAGCCCTTAAAAGACCTTAGCTATTGCAGGGACATCACATTTATCAAATCAGATCAGGAACGTCCAAATGTTGTTCGATTGTATCGTAACTATATGAACTTTCAGGATAAGTACGTCTATATTTAGATAATAATTCCTGCCACATACAATATTGAGATTACGTAACCTTATCTTAAATAAGTATCCTCCATTGCTTCATGAATAATCTTCATACTTTTCCAGGGAAACGGTATGCCAAAACTGACGTATTCATATACTGTGTTTTCAGTTCTGCTCTGCTTTTTTGACGGGTTTCATTTTCGTATGCATACAATACAGAGAACAATGCGTGATCTCAAAGACAAATTTTTAGGTTTTATGAACCAATGTGCTCATTTAATCTACACCAATCGCATGCATATGGATTATGAAAAAAGCTTAGAAGAGTTTATTTCGAAGCCTTACACGTCGCTTTTATACAACGGAACCAACGGTTTCATCGCCTGACTTTTCATATTAATCAATTCATAACACTGTTCAATACTTCTGATGAGAAAGTAAGAACCTTCCAGATTGCCGATGGCTGTTAAAAATGCTGGCTGATTTTTGCACTGTGAAACTGGTGCATGATAAAACAAAACAAAAACGCTTCTTTGCATATACGATGCTTTGCAAGTTGCAACTGCTTTTTGATACGTATGGTATGCCATTTGGATAAAGACGTACAATTTATAACATGCTGATGTTTGCGGAGTGAGAAGCCATCGAGATATGCAATGATGCTTGCAAACTACGCCTACTGCTTTAACGTAATGAAGATCAAAGATCATAGAGCGCATTCTTTGCAAGTTTGAAATGATAAAAACTGTCTTCAGGTATATCATTTCATTGGTATCTGAATAATAATATTGGGCTCACCTAAGATCTTTGTCGTTATAATTGGAACATCAAAATCAATTAAATTGATAATGAAGTGTGTTATTGTTTACTCTAGATTGTGATAGCAAGAAGGCAGATGTGGTTTTCTTACTTGATTCATCAACCACTGAAGGGCCGGACAATTTCCAGAAGCAACTCGATTTTGTTAATTTATTCGCAAACAATGTCAACATTGACGTAAATCATGTCCTTGTAAGCGTAATAACATACTCGTCAAACCCAATCAACCAATTTTATCTGAATGCCTATACCAATCGTTATGCATTGGATCAAGCTCTCATGAACATACCTTACGTTGGCGGAAATACTTTCACCGATTCGGCTTTAAAACTAGCAAGAGAAAATAGCTTCCTGTCTTCAAATGGAGCTCGACCGGGTGTAGAAAACGTGATTATACTTCTAACTGATGGAGGATCTACAGATTCTAACGCGACCATCAACGAAGCAGAACTTGTCCACAATTCACCAGACAACATCACCGTTTACACGATTGGAATCGGGTTAGGCATTGACACTAATGAACTGCAGATGATAGCCACAGATGAAAACACCACTTTTTATGTAGACGATCTTTCCAGTCTTTCTGGTTTAATTGGTGCAATTGGAAATCAATTCTGTAATGGTACGTAGTATATACAACTGTCAGAGGTGGATCGTACGTAATATACACAACTGTCAGAGGTGGATCCACACAAATTCCAACCCTTCTTCTAATAAAAATGGTGTTTATTGCCATGATTGAAGACAAACACAAACAGTCTCTAGTCAACAATAAACATCCAAACAAATGTTTGGCTGTGCTGTATGTGTCAATGGATAGTTCCTGAGACATAACAACACAAATAGTATTCTAGAAATATTTCATTTAATTAGAAAGCCATAGTTATTAGTATACAAACTTATTTTTCAGTCTCTGGAATTTTATGACGGTTTAAATTATGTTTCATGTTTATGTTCGCAGTACAATTATGTTAAAGTTGTAAGTAGTGGTTTTGTACAATTATATATTGTTTTTGAGATGTGTTGAAAATGGACTGGATTTTTTTTGTATAATTTTGTTTCATTATGCCTCTGATAGTATGATATGTAAAATTGCACATATATACTACATTTTTTCATATAACATGATCTTCATTTTATTTCTGTTATTTTAATTTAGATAACAATGTAAGTTGTTTAATTTCTGTTATTAACGTGTTTGCATCGTACTATGTATTATATGTTGAAATCAATTAAGCTTTTCTTTCGTCATTTTTAATGTCCAAATAACTTATACATTCCGATATCATCCCTTAGCAAACCAAGTGATACAATTGTGTCTTGGTCCTTTTAATTGTTATTTTTTGTATCGATTAGTTCGTTAATCAATTTGTTACAATAATAACAAATCGATATTTCCACATGTAAGTTTACAACATTTCTTTTACGGTAAAGTTAATTTATTCTTGTTGCTGCTTTTTAACGATAATTTTATTTCGCAGTTTTGAAGCCTCGCCTTATTGTAAGATATTATATATATTTTTACAGGAACAACACTAGAGCCAGGCAAGTCGAAGATGATCGCATGGATAATTATAAATGTGCTTTCGTATTTAAAGTATTGTCAGCTTTGTAGCTTAATGATGGCTTCCTGCTTATTTGTATGTATTTAAGCATAATTATTATAATGCTAACCGTCTTGGTATTCTTTTAAAGACAATATATCATACTAATTGTCCGTAAGATCAAGAATCCTACTGCGTTTTATACATACCACTATTCCATCCCGATGAATAGTAAGTTTACCCGGGTCGTGTTGTTTTTGATCGAGCAGATGCTTTGAATTAAATGGAAGGTAAGATCGTCAATAATCTTGACGATGTATCTTTGGATACTGTATAGCTACTAGATTGATGGAACTACAGATTTCGTTTTTTGTCTCATATTTTTGGTATTTTTTTATTATATATCTTTAATATATTGTTTATTGATATCTATAATGTAAAAAAAAGGTAATAAAAGAAAACACGGTAACAACTGTTTTGAGGAAAGCATATTCCTTACTATATAGCCTTTAATGTATAGCCTATGCTTGATCTATTAACGCAATATATAGATATATGTGTTTACCAATTTCTTATGAAAACAAACATTCATTTTTTATTTTGCTTCGCTATATTGCATTTTTTTGTCATTAACTAGAAACAATGCGCTTAATGGTGCTTATAGGTTTCGTTAAAATACGTGTCCAAAGCATACCTGTTCGTGCGATAACCTCTATTAAGAGACCACCTGTTCTAAGGGACCATTTTAATGTTCCCCATCGTACATCGCTGTAAAGTGTAACTTTATTAATAGACCACCTATGTTAAGAGACCACTGTTTGGACCTCCCATACGTGGTCTCCTAATAAAGGCTAGACTGTATATTTTTCTGCCAGTAAATATCAAACCTTACCTATATTATGAAGAAACTGCATTTCCAAATGTTTCAGGTCTTGTCAATACTTTTTAACATCCTTGTTTTTGAAGAAGTTCTAAGCAATATTGAATGCATCCATATAGCTTCCTTATAAAAAATATAGGACCTGGTGCTCATTATTTCTGGTATTTATACTTTTTATTTTTGCTTTTCTTGCATATTCGCTGATACATTCGGATTGCATAAAGAATATCTCGGGGCTTTTAAATTTGTAACGCATTGTTTTTGCAGTGCACTAGTAAAATGTATACACACAATTTTAAACATTGTTCTACACATATTATCTATCCTCATTCATTTGCTCTTGATAAAATTTGTATGGCTAAAATCGTATTTAATTTAAAATTGTGATATAATACAGACAAATAAACATGTTTTAAATGAAAAAAAGAACTCAGTAAATAAAATCAATCAATTTTAATATTTCTGATACTTTTGAAGTCAGTTTCGAAAAAACGTCCTAATTTGTAATGGTTTTTTTTAAAACATTACCATTTACAAGAGAATACTATTTCTGCTTACAGCACCAACAACATCAACTGAGAATCCTCGAAGTAAGTAAAGAAAACGTGTAGCACAATATTCTTGAATGGGTTTTATTTTGGCGAATTGATATAGCGTAAATTGGATATATTCCTTTTCGCGAACGTGTATTTTCAGTGTTGCTTTGTCCTTGATGACTGAAATTTTCGATGAGCCGTAGCCCAATTCAATTTAAATAAACAAACAACATCTAGATCTCCAAATTTAGAACGCTAAATACGATACCAGGGAAATGAATATACAGCGAAAATTGTATGGCCTATCACAAGATACAAAGTCTAATAAGAGCGATTCTTCTGTGACTGCCTGACTGCGTCAAATCTGTTCTGTACCGAAAGCTAGACATGGAGAATTCTGCCGATGCTCTGGCAAAATACCTTCTTTTTATCTAATAAAAGCCAATGGTGACGGATAAAGAACATGGAACAGTGGATTAACAGGGGCGCTAAAATGGAAACAATGTTAAATGAAGCAATATATTAATAAAGATAAATTGTTCAAATGAAATGATAATATTAATTTATGTTATGTTAGCTACTACTATCATTATGGGTAAACAATTAAATTCAACATTGCTTTCTTTAATCTAAAATTGCGGGTTTTTTGTACTTACCAGCAACGGCCCCTATCACCGCACCTACCATTCCAAGTCTTCCAGTCCGTAAGTACATCAATGAATATACAACACATATGATACTGTCATTATTTTGATGTGCTATACTACTTCAGGCTTTTAATTTTTGCCATCATAACAGTCATTGTGTTGTGTCTTTAATCACAAGTTACATATTTGCCTAGGTTTACCACAAACACAACGAAGTGTGCCACATTAACCTTTTTGGAATTACTCTTGTTTTATGTTTTAACGGTCCCTGTTTTTCGGAAGGTTGATTTTAACTTGGCCATAAACATTGCAGTCTCGTTATCAAGGAAGATAAAGGGTATAGAAATACTTTCAATTTTTGGTTTACAAACTTCAAAAACTTAAGTTAGTGAATGATGTTAGTTTTCGTGTGATCATTTGCTCGTTTTTGAATTCAGAATCCAGTTTGTTTTATTTTTTTATTATCTTTTTTTTGGGGGGGGGGGGGGGGGGGGGGTATTTTGTTGTAAGCTATAGATCGATTATCCATCCATCAGCCGTCACTACCGTTAATACCGCATAGACTAAACGAGAAAAACTTCAACCAAACAACAGTACATAAATAGTGTAAGTAATATCACGTTTAAAATATAGAAAATGAGGCGATAACAATGTAGCAATATTATTACAAACCAATACCACCATAACAAAATTTCTTTTGCAGCCTGTGCCTACAAGAAAGTCGACATGATTTTCCTCCTTGACACCTCAAACAGTGAGGGGCCCTCTAACTTTGCCATCCAGAAGAACTTCGTTTACAATGTTGCTCAGAACTTCGATATCGGACTAGATGCAGTCCGCGTTGGTGTGGTCACTTTCGCTTCAAACGTCTTCAACCAGTTTAATCTGTCCACCTATGACAGCAGAGGCGAGGTCCTGCAGGCTATTTCAAAGGTAACCTTATAGAAGATATCTGGTGATAAAATCGTACATCATCATTTTTATTGAATTCTTATGTCATTAGAACTACAAAGTCAGCATCAGATCCGCGCTATCACAAGGAGGTAAGTTAACCAACATGCCCTGTCTCCAGCACACATACACACATGCATGCATCCACATCAAACACGGAGGCACGTCGTTAAATGACCTTAGCTGTTAAAAGGACGTTAAATAAACTAAAGCCAAACCAAACAGCCAATAATGGGTTAAAATATGTAAAAGGAAACGCCATTACTTACACGAGAAGTCAAAAACGTAAACTTAAAACGCAAATGTTGCTATGGTTATATATAACTTGAACAGACCAATTTGTATGTGGATTATAATTTTTGTGACGTTTTACCGTTTCGAAAAAGAGATTTGAGATCGGTCATTTAAATATAAAAAATATCGTGTTGGCTGATGGCCAGTCCAATGTTTTAACCCTAAGTAAACAAACAATAATATGATGCAATAAACAATCAGCTGTGATATTTTATTCATTACACAGGTTCCTTTTACTCCCGGAAACACCATCACAGAGGCAGCACTCAAGTTTGTACGTGAGGAAAGTTTCACCCCCGAGGCTGGTGATCGACCAGATGTCGGCAATGTCCTTGTCGTACTGACCGATGGTCAGTCAACGGACGAGAACGAGACCATAGCGGAGGCCGCTGCTCTCCATAACACAAGCACGAAAGTCATTTCCATTGGAATTGGTGCCGGTGTAAATGCTGCCGAAGTTACCCAAATCGCTTCCGATCCTAGCTTAGCCTACACTGTGGCAGATTTCAACGCTCTTAAGGGAATACAAGTAGAGGTTGAGAAATCTGCATGTGTTGACGCAAGTATGTGCAAATTTTAAGACTATTCAAACCAATGCAAATTACGCAGCCACCATTAGTATTACCATGACAAAGGAGAGCTTTGCAAACAGCACAGTTAACATATCACTAATAGCAACCAATTATAATCAGTCAAGGTACAATGTGGTACAATGTGGAATCTACTGGTGCAGGAACAAAACAAACTAAGGAATCAACAGGAATTAAAAATACCGATTAAATTTAAATAATTTCAATATACATATTTTTATATTGAATTATACTAATTCATTTCTAAATATACTTAATTAGGTCTGTTAATTGAGTTATATTCAACGATGTTGACGAAAGCAGAATTGGAAAGTAAGAAAAAATCCGATAGATATTCATTCGCAAATAAAATGAAAATATTTCTTTTGTTCTGAATATTGAATACGCAAGCGTCATGATAATGAGCGAAATGATGTTTGTTTATTTATTATTGACTTGTTCTCAATTTCAGTTGTTTGCGAGGACATGGAAGATTGTGAGAGCATGGGAAAGGCGGTCTGTAAGAGGTTCGATGGCTGGGCACGGAGGAACTGCGCGAAATATTGTGAATATTGCAAATTACCTCAATAAAAATCAGGTAAATGTCAATATGTTTATTTTAGAGTCTTTTAAATTTAAGGACCTCTGTACCACTGCCGAACACTGTCACTACGCATTGGAAACTGTATTTCCCGGCCTGAGTTTGGCTTTGATAAGTTATTTCATCAAAGAAATATTGCGGGACTTTTATCGGAAAATAATAAAGATGAAACAAACTTAATGTAATCAACTCCAGTGTTATAAGCGTAAAAAATCAGCGAGTCTAGATCACAAGAGGATTCGAACCCCGGACCCCAGATTGTTGTGCTGTTGCTCTAGCCAATTAAGCTGCTTAGTCGTCTGTATTACCATTTACTTAATTTCCTACAAGTTTTAAGGCGAGTATTTTGCCTACAGTGTTACAGGGAACTTTAAAGGAAGGTTCCTAATTTATTAAAGGGGCGTTCCAAAATTGCACATGCGTTCTAACGACATTTTGTCAACGAGATGCGTTTTTATTGATTTCCATATTGCATTGAGATAGCATGTTTAACCTAAGCTACCCAAAACGACCTTGATAGCGTTTACAAGTAGTAGTTTTGCAGGAACCACATTATTTAAACATATTTTATTGCAAATAAATATTTACAAAAGAACTGGACACACGTTTTCACAACTTATCACGGTCCTTCTCTTCATATACATGTAAATAAACAACAACTCGATAAGGCAATTTGTGCAATATATACATAAATTATATTTGTATTCGGAAATAGAAAATAAGAAGGAAGAAAAGACAGCGAGAGACGGGAAGTAAAGGATAGTAAAACATGTAGAGTCAGAGAAAAAAGAGGGATAGAGAGAGAAAGATTATCACATTCAGCCAAACCGGCTGAAAAAAAGAACCACATGGTTCTTGCGGAAATGTCAATGGTATCAGAGCATCCATTTCTTACCTTGCTGTTAGTTTAGGCTTAATATTGAGAATATATCTCGATCTTTAAAATTTTTGAAACAAAAGGTAATATAACAGAAACAAAATGCTTGCAAGGGAAATAAATGTCATCAATCAATAAACATTTTATTTGAACATTTCATGATCTATATCTCATATTCAAAATATATCGTGAAAGAAATTATTTATCAATGACAATTTCTAATCATTTTTTATTTCTTTTTCAGATAGTATAGAAGAATTATTTAGGCCATTCCATCATTGTCTAGCAGTTTCTCATATCGTTTCACTCGGAAAAGGGACATCACCTCTTTATGGTATTTCTTTGTAGCTTTTCAATAAATCACACAATTTTAGTAACATATACAACTCTTGTTCGTCCGTTATTTACATTGCATATATATATATATATATATATATGTGTGTGTGTGTGTGTGTGTGTGTGTGTGTGTGCTATGTCTTAAACTATCAACAGAAACAGGTTGCAGAAATTGGAAAATACGAAACAATACTGCTGGGACTGACACAACGGATTAAGTATGTTTGTTGAAGACATGGAAGGTACCGCTCACCTCCAAATGTTACTTCAGGGTTGGTATGGTTTAACGTCCTATCAACAGCTATGATCATTTAAGGACTGCCTCTCATGTGTGCAAGATGCATGTGTGTAGTGTATGCGTGTGTGTTTTGGGAGGCTGCGATATCTTCGTGTTTGTCTCCCTGTGATAGCGCGGAACTGATGCCGACTTTATAGTGCTACCTCACTGAAACATACTGCCGAAGACACCCAGCAGGACACTCCACCCGGTCACATTATACTGACAACGGGCGAACCAGTCGTCCCATTCCTTAATTGCTTAGCGTTAAGCAGGAGTAGAAACTACGATGTTTACAGACTGGTATGTTTCGGCCAGGGGACAGAACCCAAAGCCTTCCTCACAGGGGCGAACGCTCAACTAACGGCATTATCAAGGGAGACATTCGGAAGAAGAAAGTTGTTTAGAAAGAAGAGAAAAGATAAGATCCCAAATTTAGTCGCCTCTTACGATCATGCAATTGGGGCAGCAGGTACAATTGTTACGCCCTACCTGCAGGGCCCATTAAAAAAAAGTCCCCAGAAAAAATCATGGAAATGATTCTCGCAGACTTATGTAATGAAATGGGGCGAGTCTATCCTTGTACATCCGATCAATATCATGTTACTCTTACCAACTGACCCACCTGGTCAACAGTGAATGTATTACTCATGTCAAGTCGCGCTACAGCTGTCTCTAAAATAAAATTAAGGGGAGACTACTGTGTGTATGAAAAATTATCGAGGAATTATCTAGTATTTTACCTGTAAAGAGACTGGGATCCTTAAGTCTAAAGAAAAGCTGATTGATTCAAATTATTCGATATTAGGCGTATCTACCAACAAATATATACTTGATAGATGCGTGCCTGGTTGTTATACGCTTAAACAGCCTACAGCTATTGTGAGTGTCTCCACTCTTGATCTGCTAGGGATTGGTAAACTTTTTGGTAAACAACTATCCGCTGACGCCCTTGGCGTTATTTCATTTGTCAATCTGTTAATGTTAACCTCATGGCATAATGCTTTACGCCGGCATCTTCCATAGTGGCCTCATATAGTTCACAGCAAGTGTTTCATCGTTCGGATTTAAGAATTTTGTATTTACAAGAGAAACATATGTCTTTCTGAATGTCATATGACTGTAATTGGAGGGACAGATCCCCGAACTAGCGGTGGCTGGTTATCATGTTTATCTTACTTTCACCAGTCAATTTTAAACCTGGCGTCTTTATACAATTTAAAAAGTAACTTACTCGGGTTAAATAAAAACAAGAAAACCAACCGCCACTCCTTGGAAACTATATAAAGGATATAAATAGGATAGTCTGCATAAGCAATTTCATTGCTTGTTGTTGACTTCAAAATCCCATCTAATGTGACCGAGCAGAGTACTGTGTTGGGTGCCTTCGGCATGGTATTTCAGTGAGATAGCACTATAAAGTCGGCATAAGATCCGCGCTATCACAAGGAGACAAATATCCAACATACCCTGCCTCCGGCACACATACACACATGCACGCATACACAACATACATGGAGGTACGTCCTAAAATTACCTTAGCTGTTAATAGGACGTTAAACAAAATGAAACCAAACCAAACCCCACAAGCTGTATAAAAAGGTCGACAACTATACCATCTATGTCTTTTGGTCACCTGAGACAAAGTCTCAAGTGACCTATTGCGATCGCCTTTTGTCCGCCGTCGTCCGTCGTGCGTCCGTAAACAATTTACATTTTCGACTTCTTCTCCAAAACCCCTGAACCAATTTCAATGAAATTTTGCAGAAACCTTCCATGGCCAAAGGTCAACTAAAATGGTGAATAATATGGTCCCCAGCCCCCAGGGGCCTGAAGGGCGGGGCCAAAAAGGGTCACATTGACCAAAATTTAAAAAATCTTCTTCTCAAGATCCAGATATGGTAGAATCAAATACTCTTCATAGATTGAAGGGTCTTAAGGTGCTTTACTAAAATTGTGAATTGCTTGACCCTGTGGTCTCACGTCTGCACATATCAGCCCTGACTGATCCCCAGGGGCTGATGGGTGGGGCAAAAGAGTCGAATTGACTGAAATTTCAAAATCTTCTTCTCAAGACCAGATATGGTAGAATCAAATACTCTTCATGGATGGAAGGGTTTTAAGGTGCTCTACCAAAATTGTGAATTTTATGACCCTAGGGTCTCACGTTTACCCCTAGGGAAGGAGGGGGGGGGGCAAAATTTGTTATGGTTTATAATGGCAAATGATACTTTGAATATTACATGTTGATAACTTGATTGGAATTATAACCCTAAGTTGACAGTTTGATACTTTGAAAATGTTGAGCCATCCCTACCCCCAAGGGCTGTAGGGTGGGGCCCAATGGAGTCTGTGTGCTAAATTTTCTTCATTTTCCTTGTTTAGAAACAGAGGTGCTAGTTTCAAATACTTTTCAGTCTTAAATCTGCATGCTAGATATTGAATAAGGTCGTTTTATTGTTTTTGTCACTTTGAATAATACTTCTGTTCATGTTAAAAACAAAAATCAACTCTCTGTTTAAATATATCAGGTGACCGTTAAGGCCCATGGGCCTCTTGTTTGTTTTAGATATTTGAATGAGTCACATATTTAAAAATACAATATTTATATTTCCTTTGCACAAATGTTAGATAAAACCACGAGCAACAAAATGTTGTAATCCAATTAAAGTAAGAACCATTACACTTGAATGCTTTCCGATCGGAAACGGTTCAGGTACTTCCGTCAAACTTATAAGGGAGTACTCGGGGACCAATCATTATGTAACGTCGGAAGGAAATTATGACGGAAATTCCCGAATAGTTTCCGATTGACGGTCGCCGCCTGACGGAACTGGTAACTAGAAAATCAAGGAATAAGTTTGAACAAAAATGTATTATATATGTGTTATATATACCATCAAAAATGTTCACAAAGTGCATGCCATAACTATTACTCTTTCACTAATATTTAGGATTTAAGGTCAATGTTGTCATTTCTGAAAAGGACCAATGAATACTGGAAATGTCATTTTAACGTGTTATGCCTTTTAAGTAGTGCAATATTGCCTCCCTCCCCCCACCTAAAAAAAAAAACACACACACACACAAACGGGGATTTGTCTTAATTTAAAATACAACTACCAAAATAAACAAATACAAATTCGAAATACAAAGTCTACAAGAAAAAATAACGCCTGGAACTTCTTCCTGAGTTCCTCTATATTCCAACATCCTCGATAGCCAGGGATTACGCTCACTTTCGCTCTCTGCACCCCTGGAATATGTCATAGCAAAATTGAAGACACGCGGCTAGCTATTTGATTGGTGCCAGGCAAAAAAAGATCCTGACCAAACACAAGGCTAATGCTTGTTCTTTGAAGATTACAGAGGAGTGACGCTCGACTTCAAAGCCAGTAAGTTTTACCGTTACGCGACCGCGAGATTCTTCTGATGTACATTTCAAAGGATAAGACTAGTCTGCGTGTCTCGTCCACAAGGTACTGCACACTGAGCCTTCGTTTTTGCTATGACATATAACATGGGTTTAGAAAGCGAAAGTGAGCGTAACCCCTGGATACCGAGGATGATATTCCGACGGTTCTATGTTCGAGGAAAAAGAAGCAACAGCAGCGTGTTCTGTTAGAAGTACATTTCCTTCCTGTTGTTTACCAAATAATAATACCTCGCCTCTATATTCTCAACTGAAAGTCTGGTTTAAGATAAAATTTAAATCAACAAAAATGAATAGAGAAATCATTTACTCTGACCTGTTGTCAGTACTACAAATTATTAAAGATAGGAGAAAAGACAACATAAATGGCCCAAAGAAATCAATGTTAACTTATTTTCGACTCATCCTAATGTTAGCACATGCGCAACAAGTAGACATAACCGCTGAAAGGAACTTGTCCTACCCCGACTACACGTATATTGACCATAACTTCATCACACATGCATGGTAACATATAACGAAACCCTACAGTAACGCCATTTACTGTCAGTGAGTTCATAATTGAGTGTGACGGTGTTAAACAAATACATGAAAGTGCTATAGTGTAACTAATATGAAAACAAAAGTTTTATAGTGTGTATGTGCCATCGACTATTTACATCCAATTCATTTGTATGTAAAGATACGATGTTTTTAAGCCAATTCGTTTGCTACTGGTGTTTTTTATTATCTGTATTTCTGCAGTTTTGAAACATTTAACCTTTTTAGTTTTTTTTAGGTTTTCCTTTCTATAAACATCTGTTTTAGTGTTGTTTGACTCTAAATGACTTAACTTGTGGATGTGCCGTAAAACATAATGCAAAAAAATGGTCCTAATGACCGTGTAGGCTAATTTCTTTATACGTGATGAGCCAAGGAAAGAGAAGAACAATCAGATCAGGTGTTCCCGAGAATGCTTATTCTCGATATCCAGGAGTTGAAGGCACGCGGCTAGCTATTTGATTAATGACAGGTAAAAAATCCTGACCAATCACTAGGATGAACGACGCCCGTTTTCAAAGCCAGTAAGTTTTACCGTTACGCAACCGCGATATTTTTTTGATTCAGACTAGTCTTCTCATCCACAAAGTACGTGGCGCACACTGAGCCTTCGTTTTTGCTTTGACATATTCCAGGGGTGTAGAGAGCGAAAGTGAGAGTAACCCCTGGATATCGAGGATGATTCCAGGGGTGTAGGGAGCGAAAGTGGGCGTAAACCCTGGATATCGAGGATAGTGAGTTGTCTTCAGCTTCATCAACGAATGCAAAACTTGTTAAGAAATGCCTTAAAACGAGAACCGGTGAAGCGACAATGAAACCAATGAGCATTATAAAAAAACATTCAGATAATATATATCCGGTTTGCATCTGTATACTAAAATGCTTAAAACTTCAGAACTCATCTTCTTGTCCATTCGAACTATTTTTCTTGACATTCGGCCTCGGAATAACTCTTTATTTAGAACAATACAAATGATTACTTTCCTTTATGTCTAAAATATATAAATACTGGGAATACAGTTTGAACATTAACAGAAAGAAAGAAAAAATACATAAATGTATTCAGTGGAAATGAGTTTTAATCATGTATGGAAACCGTGGTCAAGATGACTAATCTTTGAAGAAATATGCTATGGAATACTGATGTATTTTTTTAATTTAAGGTTTGAAATTATTTTTATCTATTTTGAAGCAAATTAATGTTTTCTGATTCTAACATCACCTATTTTACCATCATAATATTTTCATTACAGCTTAAGGAAAATAACATTATGGTAAAGTAATGCATGGAATGCTGTTTCAGTGCAATTTTTTAGAGTTATCTCCCTTTACAAACATGTGAGACTTGCGCACTGATCCAGACGGAAGTAGGAACCAGAGAAAAATGTTCTGACATAAATTTGGACAAGATACATTCGTTTTGGCTGGTGAACAACCTATGTGGTAAACATGTTATCTTTATTTTAATCATAATATGGAGTTAAAGAACCAGTGTTACATTTATTCCATATGTCAACCTTGTCACTGTGCACATTGTCATGATAAATGTCGGTGTTTTCTGTCTCGTCTACTGATAACATTTTTTTCTTGGCGACAAGTATTTGTGATTTCGAGCTTATTTGTTTTTCTGTGCAAAAAAAAGTACTTTCAAATTCAGATTTATCTGTGTAAATTTAATAAAGAAAATTCGGTTCAGTATATAATGTGAAAAAATGACCACCAGAAACTTGTTGTCATGAAGATTTTGTTACTCAGAAAATAATTTAATAAGAGAAGTGCCTGGTTACCCTGGTCTTAGATGCAATCTGTTGCTTGAGATATATCGCTTAACTAACTCATTATGCCTATATTGACTTAAAATTTTATCGGCCAGCACTTATATCAAATAGGTGCTCTAATTAACCTAGATTTATTTGTTTCTTTGAATTATAAATAAATATTTGAAAGCACATGTTCAATGTAATATTATAATTTCATAACACACAGGTGACAGGGTTATTCTGACATAGATTGGAAAATAAGTTTAGATACATTGGAAGGTCAATTTTGAAGTAAATAATGTCAATGAAATGAGACCCTGAAGTGGAACTGGGCCAGACTACTGCAAGTGGCCAATAATCAGGTTGGGGAAAACCACCAACTTGCGTATATACGCAAACTCGCCTATTATACGCCAGTCGGAGTATGGATTTGTTACTAAAAATAACCCAAATCGCTTTAACAGTATAACCTTTGCAAGATCTTATTAAAAATCGCATTAATTTACGACAAGGTAAATAATATTTTGCTTAAAGATGTTTACTGAAAGCGTTGGCTACTTAAAAACTTGATGTAACTTTACCGGAAGTATTGCATCTGTTTTTGGTACTTTCCCACATGCAAATAAAGTTTATTTTTGCATTTGTATTATGTTTCATGACTGAATAAATGCGACTTGGACAAACAATGTGAAAAATTTAAGATTAAAGTGATTTTGGCTATTTTTAGTAACAAATCCATCCCCCTATTGGCGTATATAATAGGCAAGTTTGCGTATTATACGCAAGTTAGTGGTTTTCCCCGACCTGCTTATCTAGTGCTCATCCATCTAGACTTCAGTGGCAAAGATATAGAAACAACAGGGATTTGTGTAGTGGGACTGGGCCTGATGACTTGCATGTGACCAGGTAGTTCAATTTGTTCGAGCGGCGTCTGGACTTTGGAGATCGCAGGTTAGAGATCCTGTCTATATCTGGCTCCATTGCATTTTCCTTTCACCATAGCTTCACATGTGGTTAAAGGAAACCCTGGCACATATATACTGAAATATAGTATATGTGTGTTTTTTTAACCATGCATAAAATACTTTTGCTATCACATTCCAATTAGAGCTCAATTTTCAATGAAACATCTTCCTTACATGAACAGAAAATCCATAAATAGTATACATTATGTACAATGGACCGAAGGGAAATAATCAAAATAACCACAATTTCACTTTAGGACTTAACTCATCCACCCCTGAAGACACAATTGAACTCGTCAAATTCAAAGGTGTGGAACAGTTCATTATGAAATTTCAGGGGTAAATGAGTTAATTATATATGGTGTCAGGTCGTTTAGGTAACAAGTCGTTTCGGTAACAAGGACTAAAGTTGTTTCAGGTCCTTTCGGGACTTGTCAAAAGTCATTTCGGGATTTTTCTTTTCTTTTTTATCTTCCGTAGATACCATTTTTTTTTCTTTAAACATATTTTAATGTCAACTAAATTTAAACAATCGATTGGATAAAAACTATTTCAACTTATCATAGCCTTCTCCCTTCATACATTTAACTTTACATGATTTTAATAACACATGAATACATATATATATAATATTCACATAGAAACAAATACACAACATAAAAACATCGTTCAAACTATATTGCTGGATTTGATGAATTGATTCACATGTCTAAAATATATTCTACGTGTTTCACGTTTTTACTTTCATGAAATATGACAATAACGGAGAATAAAGTAAATTGAAAAAATATTATTACAATATCAAACAAGGAATTAACCTATCAGTAATGAAAGAATTGATGTTGAATATCTTAAGTTCCTTTAGATCTGTATGTAATAATGAGATTAGTTTCATCGGGTAACAACACACTGTCAATCGGGTAAATGTTGGTAGGTGTCCCTTCAAGCGCTATCAATCTGTTAACACTATAATGATCCCAAGCACAGGTAGCTCGTGATACAGGTCATAGACTAAAACCATTCTTGTGTATTTACGTGACTTTTTATGAAACGGGAGCGAAATGTTATTGATAAGTTTAAATTATATATGTCCTTAAACGACTTGATTAAGTCCCGAAACGACCAGCATTCCTTTATATACAATAATGTTTTGAAGACAATATGACAGCTCTGTTGATTTACAGACATTCTGTAAGAAAATATACGGTGGGAAAAAAGGATTGACATGTGTGTTCATCTGACATATAACATATGTAAAGAGAGTCTCTTTACATATGTTAAATGTTTGATCATGATTCGTCTGAGAAATAGTTGCAGGGTCTCAGACCCTGCAACTATTTCTCAGACGAATCATGATCAAAATAATATGAAGATCATCTAATCTATGTCTGCTATGAAACAATTGTATCAGCATCGAGAAAGAGAAATGCAATGACCAGACCAGGGTTTCGAACCCGAGACACTGCGAGCTCTGGACAAACGCTCCAGTTCCTCTACACAATGACAACTAACTTGCCAATATGTGTTTTTCTCCAATAAACAAAAACTTGTACCTATATATTCTAAACTGAACTACTTTATGATCATGTAATCATGCAAACCCCATATGAAAAACATTATATCCCATATGGAACAGTTTAGTTAGATTATTTACTTTATATCATGCTTGGTTTGTTTTTGTTTTGCGTCATATTGTCAGGTCCAGTACACTCTGCCGATTGAGCTATATAGCTGTACAGACCTATAATAGCTCTATTGGCCTATCTGAAATATGTCTTTTCAGCTATTTTCATGTGATTTTGTTTTTGAAGGAAAACGAAACAAGTCACTTTTAAAAGAAGATTTTATCATTAGGTTGATAACAAAAGACATCAAATATAAGTGTTGTTTTTAAAAATTAATGATGTAAAAAAATCGGAAATTTTACATTTTTGAAAAATGAAAATAAACATCTAAATGTATACTTTTTGTAGACAACGTTACCATAAACCTTGTTGTTTTATGCGACTTTGCTTTGATTTAATCAAAATTTAAATCTGAGAAATTATAGCTGAATACAGCTATAATTTATAGGTGAATAAAGCTATATAGGTCTCTATAGCTACAAATGTATATAGCTCAACCGGCAGAGTGTGCTGGACCTGATTAACATGTACAGCTATATGGTCATTTAAGGACATCCCCAGTTTCATGCAGTATCATATTATGTATATAACTATATATCTACTGTGATTGCTTCAGCATTAAAGATGCAATATTACATCACAAATAATATTTCTGTATGCAGTACTAGTTCATAAAGGGCTATAGTGCTAATTAATATATAACAATGTATATGATCTTAACAAAAGAATTTGAACAGTGCAAATTTAAACTCCTGAAGATATTTCAATCTTACACACACTTTTAATTTCTACAGATCATGCTAGGTACAGCTAATGTTTGGTACTTTACTGCAATCAACCAATAGGTATTCTAGCCATATACAATCAATCTTTGGGGTGTTTGAATTTTACTTTGTTTTGGTTGATTGATCATGAACAGGTGTTTTTTTCTCAGAGGATATAAATGGTTGGTTGAGGTGTTTATCTTCTACACTCACTCGACTGACGAAGTCGATATTCGGTTGACGTGAGGGGGTAAGTTGCCGCTTACCAGGCCCCTCGGAGATTCAAAAGTCCTGCCCATCCATGTCACGTTTTGAGGTCGGACAGCTGCTCAAATACGGACAGGCTGTCACAACCACTACGGTCCACGGAACGACGTCCTTTAGGCTTTAGTGCAGTCCTCGCTATTCTCATATTTGAGGATATAAACTGTTAGTGTTTCTTTTACAGGAGGAGACATGGGCTACGAGGTCAACAGGTTCCAGACTGAACCTGATGAGGAGTTGATCTGTCCAATTTGTAGTGGTGTCCTGGAGGAACCTTTGCAGGTGAGTCATGACTGTAGAAAGGTGTCCTCGAACTTCTGGGGCTTCGCTCACTTACATTCTCTACACCCCTGGAATATATAATTACAAAATAAAACTCACAAGCCTGATAGGTTTAAGGTAACAAATACTAACCAGTTACTAGACTGATCTGTCCTGTTGTAGATTACAGAGGAGCAACACCCAACTTTAAAACCGTTGAATTTTACCGTTAGACTGCCAAGATATTTTGTTGAGGTTCATACATCAAAGGATCAAATTAGTCTACTTGTATAATCCATGACACAATTAAGGCATATAGAGCCTTCAATTTTGATATGACATATACTCCAGGGGTGCATAGAACAAGTGTGAACCCTGTTTAATTATCTTGCCCAGTCATGGACATCCTATAGCTAAAAATCCAGTGGAATAGACAGAATGTTTGCTTCTTATCAAAATGATAAAGTTTGAACAATACACTTACTAAATATTATGTTGTTGAGTAGTTGGAGATTGAGGACAAGAAAGTGATTGACTCCCTTAGTAAATAATCATGATTCGCATCATTATTAAAATTCACTGGCCGCCATATTGGATCAAGCTTGGTACCCTCAAATTTTAATAATGATGCGAATCATGATTATTTATTGAGGGAGTCCATTTTAATAATGATACGAATCATTAATTTGTTATCATAATGATGCAAATTCCATAGAACTAATTTTATACAAATTGTACCACATGATATACCAATGCAGAAAGTTGCTTAATATGCATGTAGAATATTCAGTTATTGATACAAATGCTGTATCATATTTGTTATACCCTTTAACAAGAAAGTTTACTCAGATTGTGACAGTTTATAATTACCTAGTTGTTCAAAAGGGTACCAGATGTAGATTTGTATTATCTGGAGTCCTGGAAGATGTTAAGTAAACTGATGGGGCATTCCATTTAGCAGAATGTTCAAGTTGCACAAACTTTGAACAGGACTGTTAAAAGGAACAACAAATTCCAAATTCCTACCTGCTCCTACAAATCTAACAATCTAATATAAGAAATGAACAATGTTTTTGGAATAAACCAGAACTGCTTGGGCGTAGGAAGAAAAAAGTGATAATATGACATCTGTGGATTACTGCCTTAATTTACAAGCATTCACACACTGTATATTTTGGACTGATTGTATAGTTATAGTTGTTATATTACCGGTAGACCAAGTGACAATGTGTTAAAACATATAAAATGAAAATTTTCACTGGCCGCCATATTGGATCAAGCTTGGTACCCTCAAATTTTACATTCCCGACCAACCGGTGAAAGACCACATTCCATTTAGTGGATTGTCTGGTTCGTATCAGCATAACTGGAACATTCTGATAAATGGAATATGCTGCGATCTCATTCTTTATATTGAATGTTAGACACTTTTAAATCTAAAACTTAAAAAGAGCTCTTGATATTTCAGGTATATGGACCAGCAAATACATTTGTATCAGTAACTGTTTTATAGTTCATGTAAGTTATAATAATTGATAAATGAGTAGCAGCATCAATGGGATAAATAGCCTTGCTTAAATTTACTTCCGGAGTTGTGCTGAAAGTACACCATTATGCACTGGAGAAAGCCTGAAATGAAAAATCTGCTGTGCTCAACTGCCGCCAATGTTCAACTAATCTGATAGACTGGTCACCGTCTCTAGAATATTGAATTATCTAGAAAAAATAAACTCAAAGCAAGTAGTACATTAATGCAGCTCGAAAACTCTTCAAAAGACTTAGTGACTGAAAGTCAGTCTACTAATCTGAAAGTGGCAGCATAATTATTAGCTAAAAAATCTGGGGTAGAAATAACTTGGTGTCAACCCTTCCTCATGATCATGATCACCTAGCTGTGATTTTATAGTAAATCGATACTTCAGAATTTCCAGAAGATAAAAAATGATAATTCACTCATAATTTTAGTGATGTAAATTGCCAATAACATCAATTGAATGTGTGTCAGAAAGACATAACTAAAGCTAACATCTCTTTAATAAAAACATATTGGGGTAAATATTTTTTAAGAAAACAAATTTTGATTTGATTCACATGTAGAGAATAACACCTAACCTCAGCAGAGCTTTTCATGGTAGGCCAGCTTTACAAGCCATAAACTGCAACGTAATTTATATATAATGAGTATTGTTGGTTTTTAAGAAATCAGCATTAATTTGAAGATGATGATTTTAATTTCTCTGCTGACTTGTTGTATGCAAATTCTTAGCTTGAAATGTGGAAATGTCATTACGCTGTGATACTGAAATCAGTATCCCATCTTAATTGCCTTTATTAATTCATGGTGCGAATCTGCTTCTCTAGAGATTGCAGATCTGCTCAGATTAATGAAATCTCTGTCTCTGTGGAAGATTCAGAGGTTGACACCTGTATGAAGTAAATTGCAACACCACTTATCTTTAATAATAATAATTGGAGGTTTTTATAGACCCCTTTATCACAAACTAGTTCATAGGTTGTCTCAAAGCGGTTCACAAATTATTATCTGTGGGTATAGGGCCTTTGCAACCAGCCAATATCTTTCTCAACTCCCTGGGGAGCATACAGCCGGTGCTGCCATTATGTAATTACATCACTCACAGCTAGCATCTACAATTCTAGCACTGCCCAACCACTTACTCATTTACAGCTGTGTAGACTGGAACAAGAAGAGTAAAGTATGTTGTTCAAAGATACAACACAGCACTGTGATATGACTCGAACCCGCAACCCTTCGGGACGACCCCGACGTTCTACCACTGGACTACCGTGTCTCCTGAAAACATGATAGCAATGACTTTGAAAAAAACCCAGAAGTATTGGTCATACCACAGATATATACCTTTAACGAAACCATACCAACTGATAGGACTTTGTACTTTCATGTTTGTTTGTTTATGTTTAACGGCCCATCGACAGCTGTGGTCATTTAGGGCCATGGTGATTTATTTCATGTAAAATGGTATTGCAAATTGCAGTGTATTGTGTTTCCTAAAAAAATAAAATCATTGATACAATACATTGCCAATTTGAAAATAATGCTTTGCATACATGTAACACTGTATAACTTATACTAATACAATTAACGTCTTTCTTGTTCGACAAATGTTTTAGTTTTCAGATGATATTTTGTTAATAATATCAAGAAATGAATTCGGAGAATGTGATAAATGTTTAAAAAGTTATAACTTTTTATCTTTAACTAATTATCTTTTAAAGATGAAATGTATGAACAAATCTAGTTATTGCCTGTATACTAGAATTTACCATTTACTTTTGTTGTATGGCATCACAAATATTGTCTCAGACTAATACCTAGATCTGTGTCACATACAAAATTACCATGTTTCGCTAGACAGTTCAACTTTCAAATTGATGACAAGTAACTGTTTTGAATTAATTCTTGCATATTATATTTAAGTTTATGAAATGTTTTATAAATTATGTTTCTGATGTTGAGTCATTTACTTTCAGGCACCGCAATGTGAACATGCCTTTTGTGGCGCTTGTATACGCGAATGGTTGACTCATCAACCCACATGTCCGGTCGACCGTAACCCTATAACGTCCAATCAGCTCAAGCCAGTTCCACGAATTCTCCGCAATCTTCTGTCTCGTTTACAAATCAACTGTAACAATTCGTCCTACGGCTGTACAGCTCTAGTCAAACTGGATATGCTGTCGTCACATCTTCAGGAATGTGAGCATAACCCTAAGAAACCTGTTCACTGTGAGCTCGGTTGTGGTCTGGTGGTACCAAAAGATGAACTCAAAGTAAGTGTGTCTACAAGGTGTTAACATTGTTTTGAAAAATAAATACTGTAACGAGAGATTCAGTACTTACATGCATATTTATTCCAAGTATATTTACATTTGTGCTGAAACCCACTTTATAAATGTTAACAATAGAAATAAGTTTCATTGTCCCATATAAATACAGTGGGATCAGTGTCATTTTGATGCTTCTCCTCCCACATTGCATAACGTGAAACTGTCATAAAAAGCAAACATTCAGGAGACATTAGGCTGTGTCAGAAATATCCTTTGCACTGAAAAGAATTATGTCACATATACATGTCCATAATTTGGTGAAGGCTTCGTGGAATATATGTCACTAAATTTTGAATTTATATTTGAAAAACTTTGTAAAAAAGTTGTTCAATCTCTTTATGAGTGTATTGGATGCAGAGCAGGGCACTTAGGATAATGATATGCTGGTTGTGAGGTCAGATGTTAGGTAGTGATCAATCTAGAATTTATTTTCATGGATCCTTTTCAACTGTATTACTTAAAACAATGGGCTGCACAATATTGAATTTATGTATTTCCAGAAATTCTATGAGTCCCATCAAAATTCTATTGAGTATAGGACTTGGGACTCGTATGTAGATTTATCACTGTTAAGGAAAATGAATTGTATATGACAATCTAGTGGATCGTAAAATGTGTCTCCCTTCTCCATCCTCCATATAACAGAAAACTTACATGTGGGTAATCTCAAGAAATTATTTTGTCAAAGATTTATAAAAAACACTATAATATTGAAATAATTATTTCAATGTTTGTCTGCTGACATTCAGGGATTATGGTAAGATCTGTATTTTTCAAATTAATTTGTTGAATATATGATAGGACTTGTAAGGTTAAATGTTTATGATAACTCAGATTTTAAAATATGTTCTTGTCATCCTTAGGATCACAATTGTGTGCGAGAGTTACGGAACCTTGTACAGCAACAGCTAGACAGGATTGGGGAGATGCAGACAGAAATCTCCGATCACAAACTACAGATCTGTGAACAAAAACGGGAACTACAGCTGCTCAAGGTAAAGGGAGATAACTAGTTTATCAGAATGGTAGCCTAGCTCATAGAATCAATCACTCATATGCGACGTAGATAGAGAAGGGAGATAACTCGTTTATCAGAATGATAGCCTAGCTTATACAATCCATCACTCCTATGTGACGTAGATAGAGAAGGGAGATACCTCGTTTATCAGAATGATAGCCTAGCTTATACAATCAATCACTCCTATGTGACGTAGATAGAGAAGTGAGATAACTCTTTTATCAGAATGATAGCCTAGCTTATACAATCAATCACTCCTATGTGACGTAGATAGAGAAGTGAGATAACTCTTTTATCAGAATGATAGCCTAGCTTATACAATCACTCACTCCTATGTGACGTAGATAGAGAAGGGAGATAACTCGTTTATCACAATGACAGCCTAGCTTATACAATCAATCACTCCTATGGGATGTAGATAGAGAAGGGAGATAACTCGTTTATCAGAATGATAGCCTAGCTTATAGAATCAATCCCTCCTATGTGACGTAGATAGAGAAGGGAGATAACTCGCTTATCAGAATGATAGCCTAGCTTATACAATCAATCACTCCAATGGGATGTAGATAGAGAAGGGAGATAACTCGTTTATCACAATGATAGCCTAGCTTATACAATAAATCACTCCTATGTGACGTAGATAGAGAAGGGAGATAACTCGCTTATCAGAATGATAGCCTAGCTTATACAATCAATCCCTCCTATGTGACGTAGATAGTGAAGGGAGATAACTCGTTTATCACAATGATAGCCTAGCTTATATAATCAATCACTCCTATGCGACCTAGATAGAGAAGGGAGATAACTCGTTTATCACAATGATAGCCTAGCTTTTACAATCAATCACTCCTATGTGACGTAGATAGTGAAGGGAGATAACTCGTTTATCACAATGATAGCAAAGCTTATATAATCAATCACTCCAATGGGATGTAGATAGAGAAGGGAGATAACTCGTTTATCACAATGATAGCCAAGCTTATATAATCAATCACTCCAACGGGATGTAGATAGAGAAGGGAGATAACTCGTTTATCAGAATGATAGCCTAGCTTATATAATAAATCACTCCTATGTGATGTAGATAGAGAAGGGAGATAACTCGTTTATCACAATGATAGCCAAGCTTATATAATCAATCACTCCGATGGGATGTAGATAGAGAAGGGAGATACCTCGTTTATCACAATGATAGCCTAGCTTATACAATAAATCACTCCTATGTTACGTAGATAGAGAAGGGAGATAACTCGTTTATCTCAATGATAGCCAAGCTTATATAATCAATCACACCAATGGGATGTAGATAGAGAAGGGAAATAACTCGTTTATCACAATGATAGCCTAGCTTATACAATCAATCACTCCTATGTGACGTAGATGTAGATAGAGAAATCTCACAAAAAGATTTTCGAGGTATAGCATGAAGTTTTTATCACACAAGAATGGTTTGTACCTTTCCCGAAACTTTCTATTGTAAACAAATACTTCAAATGCAATAAATACAATGTACCATACCTTCATCAATGGTTTGTCATTATCAATGGTTTGTCATCATCAATGGTTTGTCATCATCAATGGTTGATGATGTGATCTATGTGAATTAGTGATGTTTTAGGCAAAAAAAGCTTGTGTAAGCTATATTTCCCTAGGTAAGTGAAGACAGATTTAGTTTTCTTGGCAAAGAAGCTTAACCCTTTCACCACTGTAGACCAAAATTGACTCATCCAGATCAATGCATGGTAGAGTCTACTTAAGTTACATAGGGGTGAAAGGGTTAAGAGAATGTACCTGTGAAGTGAGGGCGAAAGTATTGCCTTTAGGCCTTGTTCCATGAATAAAAAATATTTGTTTTATGCATATTGTGAAAAAGAAATTTATAAAACTGTGAAAGTCAAATCATGGATAGGCGTTTACTACATATTGTTTTCATTTCCTTAGTGTTTGAATTTAAAAAAATGTGTTGCAAGCTTTTGTCCTTTGTTTTTGACAGGAATACATGCGGTCCATGAGAGTGTCTAACCCGAGGATGAGGGAAATTCAGTCAGAAATGGAGAATGCAGATGTTGTTCGGTAGGTAATTCCGATTCAGAGACTAGACTTAAGAAATACTCGCCAGCGTTAGTTTCATTATTGATGCACNGGGGGGGGGGGGGGGGGGGGGGGGGGGGGGGGGGGCATTTATGTCTTGCAGACATTTTTTAGTTTAATATTTATTACAAGTGTCTTCTCCCTACCAATACATACTTTAAGTTCACTGTTGCTGCATAAAAAATGGTCTGTAAAAACATGAAGCATAGAATTTGGAACAAAAATGTATCATAATATCATCTCAGATTGATTTATTAAGAAGGGGACTACTACAAATGAAAATATAAACCTGAAATGACTTAGGTCTTGATTTTTATTATTTTTGTTGGTTTCATTAAATATTATATCTGTGTTCATGTGCAAGTATAAATAAAATAAATTGTATGGCTGAAAATATTCAACCTGTCATATCATAAGAACTCCCTGTGTGGTTATGTGAATCAAATTAACTAGAGTAGCAAGCATTTACTGGTATGAATAGATATATTTATCACATAGTGTACTGTGTTATCCAGTGGATATACCCATGTAATATGACCTATCAGCCCTGAGATTGGTTGAAAGTTTCAATTGTGACGTCAAGCCTAGGACAAGTGCATGACGTCACAGACTTACGCACTGGAGTCAAAATGGCAGCTTTTTACATTTCAAGGTTGCATAAAAATTGTTGTTTTACACGAATAAACGCCACAAAGCTTGATTATGTGATAAAAAGGATCCTAAACCCGTTTCCATTTCATATATGAAATTTATGAAACTCTTCCCAAATTTTTCATATTAGCTCGTCAGAGGCTCGCTACATTGAAAAATTCTTAGACTCGTTTCATAAATCTCATATGAAATGGAAACTCATGTAAGATCCTATATATGTGACAAAGATTAATCGATCACTCACCTTGCAGGTGGGCCGCTAGTTTGCAGGCGGCCAGGGTGACTCGTTGGGGTGGCATGATATCAACTCCTGACGCAGTACTCCAAGCTGTCATCAAGCGTGCCCTGATTGACAGTGGATGCCCCTCACACATCGTAAACGAGCTGATGGAAAATGCCCACGAACGTCGGTGGCCCAGTGGACTGAGTACATTAGAAACACGACAGCTGAATAGGAGACAGTATGAAAATTATGTCACAAAGAGAATTCCAGGTAAAGATTGTGTGAACTATAGCAATAAAATTAATGTGAAGAAAAATAATTGGCAAGATCACATAATTGTCTACAATCTTGTCCTCCTATTGGTTTTTGAGACGATTTGGTGTGATTACTCCAGTATCCATGAAAACAATCTGTTATCTGCTTAATAAGACACTGTGGTAGTGCCAGACTAGGACGAGGCAAAACAATTATTTCTGCATCATTTATAGAAATTATAGTATTTGTACAATACTGTTGGAGGTTTGATAAGCACCAGTGTTGCAGTGGGATCCTAAGAACTATAAAAGTAAATGTATTTGACCTGTAGTAAATACAGCTATGTAATAAAGCCAGTAGTTGTCTCCCTTTGAAGGAAAAACTCCCTTTGTTAAAACACCAACCGAAAATATCTATGTGATGTCAGTGAATTGCACTGAGCATACTTTGGTTTTTGTAAGCGAGACGAAGGTGTTGCTTTTCTGGCGGCGGTGTCAACATTAAGTTGTTGCGTTTAACTTGGTTTCACTGAAAGTATAACTGCTAGACCATAGTTGCATCCTAGGTAGTACATCTCAACCGATGCATCAAATGCTGGATGCGGCCTACCTTTCATGGTCCATTGACTCTGTCAGCATCCCCGTCAACATAAAGTTTTTTGCGTTTCAGTTAGTTTCTCTGAAACTGTAAGTGCTAGACCAACCAAACTTGACATGTGCATTGATGGTCAAAGCAGGGCACAGGCATGACATACATTATTGTATCAATCCAAATGGCTTGTCTAAATCAAAATCAAAAACATCCCCTCAATTCCTTTGGCCTGTTTCCTTTCAATTCAAGGTTGATTTCTACATTTTAATAATGACAGAGAGTCTTAAGTTTCTGACTGAATCTTTGTAGAACAAAATCTTTCTTCGAGGTGCATTTGACTTGTAGCTCGATTATTTCCCTGTTTTCTGCAGTGTCCGACATTGATTTACATTAGTGCAGAGAGTACAGATTAGTTCACAATAGAACCACAATATAATGGCCCTCTCTCCATTTGCCACCTTGCTTCCAGTCAACTTATTTGAAAGTTCCTTTTTCTCTTTTTAGCACACCATCATCTGATGGTGGGCTATTCAAATCACCCTGCGTCCGTGGTCCGTCGTCCATCATCCGTCCTTAAACAATTCTTGTTATCGGTATTTCTCAAGAAGTACCAGAGGGATCTTTCTCAAATTTTATATGTACGTTCCCCTTAGTCCATAGCTGTGCAGGGCAACTTTTGAGTCTGATCGGATAAACAACATGGCAACAGGCAGCCATCTTGGATTTTGATAGTGAAAGTTTGTTATCGCTATTTCTCAAGAAGTACCAGATGGATCTTTCTCAAATTTTATATGTACGTTCCCCTTAATACATAGCTGTGCAGGGCAACTTTTGAGACAGATCGGGTAAACAACATAGCCGAAAGGCAGCCAACTTGGAGTTTGATTGAGTAGGTTTGTTAACGCTATTTCTACAGAAGTACCAGAGGGATCTTTCTCAAATTTGATATGTAGGTTCCCCCTGGTCCTTAGCTGTGCAGGGCAACTTTTGAGACTGATCGGGTAAACAACATAGCCGAAAGGCAGCCATCTTGGAGTTTGATTGAGTAGGTTTGTTAACGCTATTTCTCCAGAAGTACCAGAGGGATCTTTTTCAAATTTTTAGGTCACCTGAGACAAAGTCTCAAGTGACCTATTGCGATCGCCTTTTGTCCGTCGTCGTCCGTCGTGCGTCCGTAAACAATTTACATTTTCGACTTCTTCTCCAAAACCCCTGAACCAATTTCAATGAAATTTTGCAGGGACCTTCCATGGACAAAGGTCAACAAAA